ATTGGGAAGGTTGAGAAACACTGACCAAAGCTTTGGAGAGCTTCTGTTCAACCTTTCAAAGCTCCCTGCTTGAGCGGTGATGGCATGATCGTCAGCATAGATGAAACTCTCTGTCCCTTCTGGTAGTGGCTGGTCATATGTGTAGATATTAAACATTGATGGTGCAAGCTGCTTTTCCCTGTGATAGGCAGTAAGATCACCTAAAGCTTCGGAGAACTTCTGTTCAACCATTTCAAAGCTCCCTGCTTTGTTCTAAGGGGTTGAGGCATTAGGAAGGTTGATAAACACTGACCTAGAGCGTTGGAGAGTTTCTGTTCAACCCTTTCAAGGCTCCCTGCTTGAATGGTGATGTCACGATCGTCAGCATATATGAAACTCTCTATCTCTTCTGGTAGTGGCTCATCATTTGTGTAAATGTTAAACTTTGATGGAGCAAGTACACCCCCGAGGCAGCTATTCTTCTGTTTTCATCATCTTCCTCTCTGACCCTGGAACTCAACAAAAAGCTCCTGTTTTGTAGCAGATTTTCTCTGAAGTGAGTGGGGAGGTAACCCTTTGTGATAATCCTAATGGAGAGCCTCTCTACCCTGCTGCCGGAGCCTCTCTGACCCTGGGACTCAACAAAAAAGCTCCTGTTTTGTAGCAGATTTCCTATGAAGCAGATTTTCTATATCTCGGATAGGATCTCAAAATCTGCAACAGGACCAAGGAATCTCACCACGTTGGCAGCCACTTTTTGCTTGATAGTCAAGCTGTGCTTCTTGTCAGTCAACCAGTTTATAGGCAATGTTTAAAAGGAGAATTTTCACCAATCTGCAGGAAGACACCTTGAGCCTGATTCATAATTGTTGTAAGGAATTTAACTCAATGTATGTCTCCTCACAATAAGGATCAGAATCTCACCTCCTCCCATATGGACAATTATGCATCATAGTTGAAATCAGTGCTCTTATTAAACACAAACTCTTTTGAATTTACTGTCACTTAAGGGGAAGGGGGGAGGGAAGAGATCAATTGACAATTGAGATAAAATGCATTTCTGAGCGATGGTTTATTAAAGTGAGACGAACCGCTGCAAAGCGAGGCGCAGAAATGCAAATTGGTGCGCAGGAAGAGGGAGATCAGAAGCGGCTGCCTGTTAAGAGCTGGTGTGACGGCTGGGTTTGGCTCAAGGCACAGATTTACAACGGCGCAGCGGCAAACGCTTCCTTTCTGCAACCAAGGGATGCGCCCTCTAATCATCACTAATGAGGCTCTTTGAGTCTTGCAGCAAAAGGAGGTCTGCACCCACCACCATTTTACAGAGGTGGCATCGCAGCTCGGAAAGGGTTGACACTGAAAGGATGTCACTCCTAACCACCACGACCTAATGGCAAGCCAGACCATTTTTCAAGGTTACTGTGTTGGGAAACCAAAGATGCCTGCGTTATGATAATAAGTCTGAGTCCTAAGAACTTAGGGAATCCATGGATGAATCGAAGTTCACCTTGAGTTGTGAGGAGAGGATAGTACATAGTAGAATAGTAATAATAATAATTATTTATTAACCCAACACTCTGATTAAGAACTTCTCAATCAACTTCGACTTATGACAACAGCTATGTAAATCGGAAGCCCTTCCACCTAGGTTTTATGGACTCCCAAAAATCCATAAGGACTACACCCCACTCAGATCCATCATGAGTGCCACTGGAACCCCCACTTACGACTTAGCAAAATTTCTTGCTACACAGTTACGAAGTCATATTGGGCTCACTACACACTACATCAAGGATTCAGCCCACTTCATAGAAAAAATCAGCAATCTCAAGCTAAATACCAACGACAAACTGATCAGCTTCGATGTGGTGTCTCTATTTACCATGGTGATGACATGATCATCAGCATAGATGAACTCTTTGTCACTTCTGGCATTTGTAGGGGTCACCACAACGTGAGGAACTGGATTAAGGGGTCATGGCATTAGGAAGGTGGAGAAACACTGACCTAGAGCTTTGGAGAGCTTCTGTTCAACCCTTTGAAAGCTCCCTGCTTGAGCAGTGATGGCATAATCATCAGCATAGATGAAACTCTTACTCGCTTCTGGCATTCGTAGGGGTCACCACAACGTGAGGAACTGGATTAAGGGGTCATGGCATTAAGAAGGTGGAGAAACACTGACCTAGAGCTTCGGAGAGCTTCTGTTCAACCATTTCAGTGCTCCCTGCTTGAGCGGTGATGACATGATCGTCAGCATAGATGAAACTCTTTGTTGCTTCTGGCATTTGTAGGGGTCACAACATGGGGAACTGGATTAAGGGGTTGTGGCATTAGAAAGGTTGAGAAACACTGATCTAGAGCTTTGGAGACCTTCTTTTCAACCATTTCAAAGCTCCCTGCTTGAGCGGTGATGACATGATCATCAGCATAGATGAAACTCTTTGTTGCTTCTGCCATTTGTAAGGGGTCACGGCATTAGGAAGGTTGAGAACCACTGGCCTAGAGCTTTGGAGAGCTTCTGTTCAACCATTTCAAAGCTCCCTGCTTGAGCGGAGATGACATGATCGTCAGCATAGATGAACTCTTTAGCACTTCCGGCATTTGTAGTGGTCACCACAACATGAGGAACTGGATTAAGGTGTCGCAGCATTAGGAAGGTTGAGAAACACTGACCTAGAGCTTCGGAGAGCTTCTGTTCAATCATTTCAGAGCTCCCTGCTTGAGCGGTGATGACATGATCGTCAGCATAGATGAAACTCTCTGTCCCTTCTGGCAGTGGCTGGTCATTTGTAGGGGTGACCACAACATGAGGAACTGTACTAAGGGGTTGCGGCATTAGGAAGGTTGAGAAACACAGCTCTAAAGATATTGTGAGGTGAGGATCAGGGAAGACAAGGACATTTTCCCCATGAGTTTTGAAGAAAAGACAGACCAAATGATAATCCGAAAGGAGGAGCTACGAGGGAAATGGGATCTGTGAAAGTCCTAAATGTAGGTCAGAAGCAGCATCTTGGAGTTCAGTCTGGAAGTCAAAAGGGAGACCCAGGGGCGAAGGGGGTTAGCGGGCAGCCAGCGTGACCTTCATTCATGCAGCAAATAGACTCTGTTTGTTTGTTTCTACTTGGAAGGAAGCTGTTGTCATGCTGCCCTGAAAACACGACGAGGAAGAATAGCAGCCCAAGGCTGATAACACACCAAGCTCTCCGAAGGACTGACTGCGTTCCCAGTCATTCCAATACATGGAGTTAAATTGGCCCAGAACAGCTCCCAACAGGGCTGCCATTGTTTGCCAATCAAGGGCTGCAACACAATGGCGCCCATTCATCGCCAGGACGGGTGGGAGAACGCTCGGCTTGTGTGTGCGCTCGGTGGGTCTGAAGTAGACGCTGCTGCAGTCCACACAGAACTGTACTCTTCCCCTTCCACTAAAGGGATTTCCAGGGAAACAAAAGGCAACCAGATTTCTCACCAACAGCTAAACTACTGGGGTGGGTGGGTGTTCATTAAAGATTTCCCCCGACCCACTTCTATTTATCACAGGACACTGAAACTGCATATCCGCAATGATATAAGTCTCTATAGGTTATGTGCCAATTTACAACTCGGAACTGAGAACGGTCTTGATTGTATTGGTGCGGAAGTGGTGTGAGGTTTCAGAATGGACCCAGGGCAGAGCAGTCCTCAAGTTCCTTTACTCGAAAGGCCGCACACCAAAGGAGATGTTTGATGTGAAGAAAAAGGTTGATGGTGAGGATTCCCCATCATAGGATGGAGTCAAGAACTGGCATCGTCCACTCCAATGTGGTTGGACTTCAGTGGAAACAGCTCCCACTCTGCTCTTGATGAACACACCATCCAGCAAGTGGAGGTCGCCAGTTTGGAAAATGGCTACGTAACTATTTGTGTTTGTGCGGGACTGTGTCCCTCTTTTCATGAGCTGGTCATTGACCATAATAAAGTGAACTTGAATTATTTGCCACTTATCCCAAAATATCAGGATGACTGTGGGGTCCGTTGAAAAAAACTCCCCAAGACCAGTGTTTCTCAACCTGGGGGTCAGGACCCCTGGAAGGATTGTGAGAGGGTGTCAAAAGGGTTGCCAAAGACTCTCAGAAAAAAGTATTTTCTGTTGGTCATGGAGGTTCTGTGTGGGAAGTTTGGCTCAATTGTATCGTTAGTGGGGATCAAAATGCTCTTTGATTGTAGGTGAACTATAAATCACAACAAGTACTACTACCAAATGTCAAGTATATTTTCCCCAAACTCCAACAGTGTTCACATTTGGGCATATTGAGTAATCATGGCAAGTTCAGTCCAGATCCATCATTGTTTGAGTCCACAGTGCTCTCTGGATGTAGGTGAACTAGAATTCCCAAACTCAAGGTCAATGCCCACCAAACCCTTGCAGTATTTTCTCTTGGTCGTGGGCATTCTATGTCCCAAGACTGGTTACATTCCATCATCGGTGGAGTTCAGAATGCTTTTTGATTGTAGGTGAACTATAAATCCCAGCAACAACAACTCCCAAATGACAAAATCAATTCCTCCCCCCCCCCCAACCCCATCAGTATTAAAATTTGGGTGTATTGGATATCTGTGCCAAATTTGGTCCAGTGAATGAAAATATATCCTGGATATCGAATATTTACATTGCGATTCATAACAGTAGCAAAATTGCAGTTATGAAGTAGCAATGGAAATAATTTTATAGTTGGGGGTCACCACATGAGTTATTTTTGAACGTCAAGCATTCGTCAGAGGCTGAGACTCTGATTTCCAAAGTTGCTTTTGGAGCAACCTGTCGACTTCTCCAAGCGAGGTGTTTACCAAAGAAGGGAGAAGTGTGTGTCCCGAGGTGTCACCCATGGAGAGAAGGACTCAGAACTGGGCCAAGCTTCATTGCTCTCCATCCACAGGAAGTGGGTCAGGGGAAAGCTTTAATGAACGCTCCTAGTAGCACCGGTTGTCAAAGAGACAAAGGCTTTCTGCCATCACGTAGGGAAAAAAAAACCCAAAGGAAATAAAGAAAGAGAGAACATTTTACTACAAAAAAAAATTGCACATTTCAAAGACAAAGAGAGAAAGGAGAATCGTACGCAATTGCCCATGTTTTACAAAAATGACAGTCACAATTAGGTTTGTTTTCCTTTGTTGAAGAATACCACTTAGTGTTTCAAGCTTCAGACCTTTACTTTGTTGAGTTCCTGAAGTGTACTTAATTTTTATTTAATTTTTTTGCTTTCGGTTACCTTGCTGTTAAGAGAAAGAGCGTTACAAAAAAAAGTCTGTAAGAATACAACAAATACAACATTTTTTTTCAAAAAAATGAGAGGCCAACGTAGACAGGCAGAAGTTGCCCACAAAATGGAAAAACAAAGCCTTCATTGCTTGGATTTTTCTACCTCGAAACTTGCCAGGGCGAAGACCTTGTCCCCTGACCCTATGGGAGGAGAAAGAAAAAGAAGGGATCCATGTATTTATTTCCTTACTTCACTTGTATACCTCTTTTCTCCCCCCAGTGGTGGACTCAAAGCAGTTTCCAACATAATTATGGCAAAATTTAATGCCTTGCCTACAGAGACGTAACAATAATAACAGACAATTATCAATTCAATCATAAAGCAGAACATCATTTAACATGAAAACATGGAATTAAAAACATATCAATATTAACATTAAAATCACACAAACCAACCATCGTTCCAAATATCATCTCTATTGCACATCATCCCTGATCATTCCTTGTGCTGCTTACTGCCCAAAGGCCCAGAAATTTTTACTTTTTTTCAGAAGTTCAGGAGGGAGGGGGCTGATCAAATTTCGTTGGGGAGGGAGGAAGTTCCATAGCCAAGGGGCCACCGTTGAGAAGGCCCTGTCTCTCGTCCCCACTAGTCCCCACGGTCTGGATGAGGGCGAGCAAATTGAAGTTGAATCCAGATAAGACAGAGGTCCCCCTGGTCAGTCGCAAGGCCGAACAGGGTATAGGGTGGCAACCTGTGCTGGACGGGGTCACACTCCTCTTGAAGGCACAGGTTTACAGCTTGGGAGTTCTCCTGGATTCATCACTGAGCCTGGAATCCCAGGTTGCAGCGATGGCCAGGCGAGCATTCACACAGTTAAAACTTGTGTGCCAGCTGCGTCCGTACCTTGGGAAGTCAGACTTGGCCAAGGTGGTCCAAGCTCTCATTACATCTAGGATAGACTACTGCAACACACTCTACGTGAGGTTGCCTTTGAAGACTGGTCGGAAGCTTCAAATAGTCCAACGAGAGGCAGCCAGATTAATAACTGGGGCAGCATACAGGGAGCACACAAGTCCCATGTTACGCCAGCTCCACTGGCTGCCAGTCTGCTACCGGGCATAATTCAAAGTGCTGGCTTTGGCGTATAAAGCCCTAAACGGCCCCAGCCCAAATTACCTGTCTGAACGCATCTCTCCCTATGAACCACTGTGGAGATTAAGATCCTCCGGAGAGGCCCTGCTTTCCGTCCCGCTATTGTCACAAGCACGATTGGTGGGGACTAGGGACAGGGCCTTCTTGGTGTTTGCTCCCCGGCTATGGAACTCCCTTCCTGGTGAGATCAGGTCGGCCCCCTGCCTCCTGTCCTTTAGAAAGATGGTCAAAACTTGGCTGTGGGACCAAGCTTTCGGGACAGGGCAATAAGGCAGCAATAGGAAAGATTACCAGGCCAATTAGCTTTGACGCGAATGACTAGGACGGTTTTAAATGGTGTATTTTAATATTGAGATAAATGTTTTTAATGTTTATGTATGTGTATGTGAATCTGTGTCCCGGCATTGAATGTTTGCCGTGTATATGCTGTGCTCCACCCTGAGTCCCCTTCGGGGTGGGAAGGACAGAATATAAATGTTATAAATAAATACATAAATAAATAGTCGAGCTTGTGAAGGAGCCGGGACTGAGAGCAGGGCCTCCCCAGGTGATCTTAATCTCCAGGATGGTTCATTCAGACAGGTAAGTGGGCCAGAACCATTTCGGGCTCTATAGGCTAAAGGCAGCACTTTGACTTGTGCTCAGTAGCAGACTAGCAGCCAGTGAAGCAGGCGAAACAAGGGAGTTGTATGCTCCCTGTACCCCGCTCCAGTGAATAATCTGGCTGCCGCCCATTGGACCAATTGCTGAACCGTTTTCACAGGCAATCCCACACAGAGCGGGTTGCAGTAGTCTATACGGCAGAGGTTCCCAACAGGGACCACTCTCCAACATTAACAACAGAACAACTTTGAGGGACTAAACATGGTCTTAGAAATGGCTGCTTTCTCATTACAACTGATTTGTGGCAATGGCAGGTAATACTACCACTACTAATACTACTAATACTACTAATATTAATTATTATTATTATTTATAACATTTCTAATCCGCCCTTCTCAACCCCCGAGGGGGGACTCAGAGCGGCTAACACTGGCAGCAATTCAATGTCGCAAAGAACAATATCTTGCACATGTGGCCCGCTCATTGTAATGTTATTTTATTTTACTGTGTATGATTTTGCTTTATTGTTTTCGTACTCATACGTTGTATGTATTTTACTGTGTTGTTATTGTGGTTTGATTTTACTTTATTGTAATATGCTGTTGGACTTGGCCTCATGTAAGCCGCCCTGAGTCCCCATTGGGGAGATGGTGGTGGGGTATTAAATAAAGATGATGATGATGATGATGATTATTATTATTAAGATCCCCAGATGTTAAGATTGTCTGGGGAGGCCCTGCTCTCGATCCTGCCTGCATCACAAGTGCGTTTGGCGGGGACGAGAGACAGGGCCTTCTCAGTGGTGGCCCCTCGGCTGTGTAATGCCCTTCCTACAGACATCAGATCGCCCCCCTCCCTGTCAGCATTTCGGAGGAAAGTGAAGACCTGGTTGTTCGAGCAGGCATTTGAAAAGGCAGTGTAATGAACATAGGAATATGGAACAATTGGATGTTGAGATTGGATCTTGATTTTAACTATGAGATGCTAATGAGATGTTTTATTGATTTATATTGATTGCTTATTATGCCACTGTTTTACTTGTTTTTAACTGTTTTATGATTTTTGAGCAGTGAATTTTGCTATTGTTAACTGCTTTGAGTCGCCCGAGGGCTGAGAAAAGCGGTATATAAATATCGTTAAATAAATAAATAACATCAATATAAAACCATAAATACATAACAGATTAAAAACAATAATATTAGTTACACAATCATACAGCCGTTTCCATTATTCTAACAATCATATGGTCCAGTTCAGTGTCCAAAGTGCCGTTATGCCTGCTAGCCAAAAGCCTGGTTCCAAGACCACCATTTCAGTTTTTTCCTAAAGGAAAAGAGGGAAGATGCTCATCTAATCTCACTGGAGAGCGGGGGGTCACCACCGAGAAGGCCCTGTCCCTCAACCCTACCAGACGCGTTTGCGAGGCTGGTGGGACCGAGAGCAGGGCCTCCCCAGTGGATCTTGAACTACGAGGTGGAATGTAGAGGGAGATACATTCGGAGAAGTAAGCTGGGTTGGAGCCGTATAGGGCTTTGTAGGCCAAGACCAGCTCGGAATTGGATTGGCAGCCAGTGGAGTTGACATAACAGGGAGGTGGTGTGCTCCCTGTATGGCGCTCCATAACAACAACAATAATAACAACAACAACAACTTTGGGGGACTCTCCTTCTCTCCCTCGCTTCTTCGCTCATTCCGCCTGGTGAATCTTCTCTGCCCTGGCCTGGGAAGCTTCTCAAGGTTGGGAAAGCCCTGGCGAGGGCAACACACTGGCATCTCCTGGCATCCTTCTTTCCTTCCTTCTCTCCCTCTCCTTCTCTCTCTCTCTCTCCTCAATCACAAGCCAGTGACAATTTTCCTGGCATGTCTTGCAGATCTTATTTTAGGTCTAGTGGGCTGCGGCCCACGGGTTGGGAACCACAGATCTAGATGATTTCAGCCATTTTTCTCCCACCTGGCTGCAAGCAAGTTGTGTGAAGCAGGGAGGGAAAACAGGAAAAAGGAAGACTTACCAAGGTCATTGGAGACCTTCTCAAACTGGCTTAGAGCAGCTCCAGCATTTGTTGAAAGGAAGGTCTCATCATCGGGCGTCAGCTGAAAGGAAAGGAAAATGAGTTGGCTGTATTGTAAGTGGTTAAAGATGAACGAGAAAAACATAATTCATGGATAGATAGGCTTCAAATGTTTTCCATAGATTCCACATGAAACCCAATTAGCCCACCGTCACAAGTGTGGGGCCTTGAGATATGTAGAATTTTCCCACTTTTGCACATCTGATCCTCACAAAAGTGGATGGCAACCTGCACATGTCATTCAGTTTTTAGTCCCATGAAAGACAGAATTCCAAAATGCGTACCTTCTCCCCAAGCTTGCGGAGTGCGGTGAGGATTTCCACTTTCTGCAGGGTGTAAAGGTCCCGCCCTAGCTTTCCAACAATCAAATCTCTGTCCATCTATACAAGAAAGGGGGACGGAAGGGAAGAGAGAACATTTACATATTTGATGAATGATGATTTTATTGCAACCTTTCTCCATCCCACTGCTATCAAAGACATATTTGGTGCAATGCAAGAGAGCCTTCTCTGTGGCTGCTGAGCTTAGGATTACTCCTTGCATTGCACCAAATATGTAGGAAAGGCATAAGACGCTCCAAATAAGTCCAGGAAGTGATAGCGCAGGCTTCTCAGCTTGGAAATGGAAAACAACTCCTCCCCAGAGCCAGAGATGAGCACCACCTGCAAAGCCAGAAATGAAAGGAGAAGCCTTTGCCTTTGTTTATTTTTGCATTTCTCATTGTATTGTAACAAGGCATTGAATGTTTGCCAGCATCTGTTTATACTGTAATCTGCTCTCTATCCCCATTGGAAGATGGGCGGAATATAGATAAAGTATTATTATAAGTGTTATTAACAAGATGTGCTTTTTAGCTGGAAATGAAAGGAGAAGCCTTTGCTTTTGTTTATATTTGTGTGTCTCATTGTATTGCAACGAGGCATTGAATGTTTGCCAGCATCTGTTTACACTGTAATCTGCTCTGTGTCCCCATGGGAACATGGGCGAAACATAAATAAAGAATTATTATTATTAGTGTTATTAACAAGATGTGCTTTTTAAGCCGGAAATGAAAGGAGAAGCCTTTGCCTTTGTTTATGTCTCATTGTATTGCAACGAGGCACTGAATGTTTGCCAGCATCTGTTTACACTGTAATCTACTCTGTGTCCCCATGGGGAGAAGGGCGGAATATAAATAAAGTATTATTATTAGTGTTATTAACAAGATGTGCTTTTTAAGCCGGAAATGAAAAGAGAAGCCTTTGCCTTTGTTTATGTTTGTGTGTCTCACTGTATTGCAACGAGGCATTGAATGTTTGCCAGCATCTGTTTACACTCTAATCTGCTCTGTGTCCCCATGGGGAGAAGGGCAGAATATAAATAAAGTATTATTATTAGTAACAAGATGTGCTTTTTAATAGTGTCCTATTCTGCTTCTCGTGATGAGAGGCAACACTGTAACATGCCTTACATCTTTGCAAATCTCAACAAGCAATAAGTGTACATTCATTTTTTTAGGTGCAAGGGTTAGATCCTTACCTCGCCCAATCTAGTTCTCAACTGTCCAGGCTGTTTTTTGGCAAACATGCGGATGACTTCTGGGGTTTTGAAAGCCTGACTGATGGCCGCTTGTATGGCCTGCAAGAGACATAATATAACACAAACTGTGGGCTTGTCTGCTTAGTTGGCCTCAAGTAATATCTCTAATATCAAAGCCAGTAAGACATGTCTACCCTGGACGGAAAGGCTTAGCAAATGTGCACTGGACTGGTTCACAAAGACAGTACTCACCAACTGCATCCCACTAAGTTCATCCACCAGGGTCATGTTTCCGGACATAATCTTCTTCAAGGAATCATTGAACTCACTCAGCTGTTCGAGGGTTTCCTTCTTGGTTTCTTCATATTCATCTGTGTCTAGTTCCTCTCTGATTGAGAAACAAGAGTTAAGATTGCTGAGAGATCTTTAAATACTGATAAATCAAACTTATTGTTCTAAAGCTCCAGACTATGGGGTTGCTGTGAGTTTACTGGGCTGTCTGGCCATGTTCCAGAAGCATTCTATCCTGACATTTCACCCACATCTATGGCAGGCATCCTTAGAGGTTGTGAGGTCTGACGGAAACTAGACAAGGAAAGTCTATATATCTGTGGAAAGTCCAGGGTGGGAGAAAGAACTCTTGTCTGTTGGAGGCAAGTGTGAATGTTGCGATTAATCCCCTTAATTAGCATTGCAAAGCCTTGCTTCAAGGCCTGGCTGCTTCCTGCCTGCGGGAATCTTTTGTTGGGAGGTGTTAGCTGGTTTCTGAAACATGGCCATACAGCCCGGAAAACTCACAGCAATCCAGTGATTCCAGGCATGAAAGCGTTTGACAACTCCAGACTATTCTTACAGCCTCATCACGCTAGCATTTTAAAGCGGGCACACCCACTTACTTGGTGCCTTCTGCCTGCAGAACTCTGGGAAATGTAGTTTGGGGAAGAGCCTGCTAGAGATATCCTCGCCCTCCCAAACTACATTTCCCAGAGTTCTGCAGGAGGCAGAAAACACGAAGAAAGCAGGGTGCCCACTTTAAAACGCTAGTCTGATGACTATAATCATTACACATTTCAACAATAACTCTTTATTGTTCCACAAATAGATAAACCCCATTTTCCTAGTTTCCAACGGACCTCACAACCTCTGAGGATGCCTGCCATAGATGCAGGCGAAATGTCAGGAGAGAATGCTTCTGGAATATGGCCAGACAGCCCGGAAAACTCATGGCAACCAATTAACTCTTTACTTTCCCATTACTCAAAAGAAACTGGTTATGTTATGTTTCCAACCACACCCCAAACAAATGAGGCTTTGGGGCCAGATGTACAAAAAGATTTCCCCCTGTTCACATGGTATTACCAAACCTTTTCGAGCATAGTCATTTCCCAGAAGCTGTTTATTACCGGCACTCCTCCAGATCTTGCAGTTGCTGCATCAATCGGTCCAGCTGCTCTTCCAAGTTCTGTTTCAACTTGCTGGTTTCAATTGTCCCTCTTGAAGCCATTTTCAACTCTTCGCATTACCAACCTCTGCGAGAGAAATGAAACATACTGTGCTAATTAGTAACCAGCTCAACTTATAACTTATACATCGTTTGGGTATAAAGGTCAATATTTATTCTCTTCCTTATATGAATATGCCCAGCCTCTTCGACAGTCTACAACAATATACTTGGGATGGTTACTGCAAAATAACTTATTCAAGAAGAAATTAGATAACGTTGACCATTTATGCTCCCTTGGCAGCCACCTCTACACAAAAGACAACATTGACACTTTGGTAGAAACAGGTTAGCCCAGGGTTGCCTATCATTATTTATTTATTTATTTATTTATTTACTTGCGACATTTATATTCTGCCCTTCTCACCCCAAATTACAAATTCTCACCTGCCTATTACAGGGAAAACCAGCTGATCCCTAATCCATCTAAAACACAGACATGTGCCTTTCACCTTAAGAACAGAGAAGCATCCCGAGCTCTGAGGAATATCTGGGAAGGAATCCCACTGGAGCATTGCAGCACACCCAAATATCTGGGAGTCACTCTGGACCGTGCTCTGACCTACAAGAAGCACTGCCTGAACATCAAGCAAAAAGTGGGCACTAGAAACAATATCATATGAAAGCTGACTGGCACAACCTGGGGATCACAACCAGACACAGTGAAGACATCTGCCCTTGTGCTATGCTACTCTGCTGCTGAGTATGCATTCCCAGTGTGGAACACATCTCACCACACTAAAACAGTGGATGTGGCTCTTAATGAGACATGCCGCATTATCACGGGGTCTCTGTGCTCTACCACTGGAGAAATTACACTGTCTAGCCGGTATTGCACCACCTGACATCTGCCGGGAAGTAGCAGCCAATAGTGAAAGGACCAAGGCAGTGACATCTCCAGCTCATCCCTTGTTTGGCTATCAGCCAGCACGTCAATGACTTAAATCAAGAAATAGTTTTCTAAGATCTACAGAGACACTCGCTGGAACACCTCCGCAAGCGAGAGTCCAAAAGTGGCAGGCTCAAACCCAGAACCTCAATCAATGGCTGATACCAAATGAGAGACTCCCCTCTGGGCACACAGAAGACTGGGCAACTTGGAAGGCGCTGAACAGACTGCGCTCTGGCACCACAAGATGCAGAGCCAATCTTAAAAGTGGAATCCGCGACATGCGAGTGTGGAGAAGAGCAAACAACTGACCACCTGCTGCAATGCAACCTGAGCCCTGCCACATGCACAATGGAGGACCTTCTTGTGGCAACATCAGAGRCACTCCAAGTGGCCAGATACTGGTCAAAGGACATTTAATCAACTACTAAGTTTGCAAAATTTGTGGGTTTTTTTTAATCTGTTTGTTTGTTTTGTTCTGTTAGAAATGTAATACAATGGTATGGTTGCTGATGACACGATAAATAAATAAATAAACCCCAAAAGTGACTTATTATTATTATTATTATTATTATTATTAGTGATATTTATGACATTTACTTGTAAGCCGCATATAAATGTCGTAAATAAATAAATCAACAACAACATATGGGGGGCATCAAATTGCTGTGGGTTGTAAGGYGCGCTGAGTCCTCCTTCAAGGGTAGAGAAGGGYGGGGTACAAATATATGTAATAAATAAATAAATATAATAGACACGGAGAAGTGGGAAGCCCTGGCCCTTGAGCGCTCTAACTGGAGGTCAGCTGTGACCAGCAGTGCTGCRGAATTCGAAGAGGCACGAATGGAGGGCGATAGGGAGAGGAAGGTGAGTCAAGCCAACCCTGGAAACTGTGGAAGCACATGTGGGTGAAGAATAGGGCTCCACAGCCACCTAGGGACCCACCCCCAAGACACCCCACTTGGAGGGCCATCATATCCAGGGAAGGAGAAGCACCCATCCTTACCTCCAACCCTTCTTCTTCCTCCTCCTCCTCCTCTTCTTCCTCTTCCTGAGCCTCCACCTCTTCCAATCACATCCTCCCTCCAAGAGACAGGGTCTGCTGTCACGGAGGGGCGAGTCCCTCTCACTTCCGGTTCCCAGGGCGTGGGGGAAGCCCTTCGGCGACGGACACAGGCCCACTTACGGGTTCCGCAGCCAATCAGGCGCCGCGCTTGTGGTACTGTGACGATAGTCTTCCCCCCAGCCGCTTGAGCCGCGGTGTTCAGTTCCGGGCCTAGACTGCTTTCGATTTTGAATCTCTCAGGTAAGGAAAAGACTTTCTTAGCTGGGGAAAAGGAGCTGTTTTGGGTAATGAACAAATCTAATGATTTATTAATATTATCATTATTGAGCAGATCTTATTATTTATCAATATTATTGGGTTGCTATAAGTTTGGCTGCCTGGCCATGTTCCAGAAGCATTCTCTCCTGACGTTTCTCCCACATCTATGGCAGGCATCCTCAAAGGTTGTGGGGTGTCTTAGAAACTAGGAAAATTGGGCTTATATATGTCCAAGGTGGGAGAAAGAACTCTGGTCTGATTGAGGCCCTTGGCCAGCTTGATTAGCATTCAGTAGCCTTGCACCTTCAAAGCCTGGCTGCTTCCTGCCCAGAGGAATCCTATGTTTGCAGTCCTTGCCTTCAATTCGCATTGAATAGCCTTCAGGCTGCAAAGCCTGGCAGCAAAGCCAAGGATTCTTCCAGGCAGGAAGCAGCCAGGCTTTGAAGCTGCAAAGCTAGAAAATGAGGCAAGTGGACTTTCTCTGTATATCTGTGAAATGATGTCCAGGGTGGGAGAAAGAACTCTGGTCTGCTTGAGGCAAGTGTGAATAGCCTTGCAACTTCAAAGCTTGGCTGCTTCCTGCCTGGGGGAATCCTTTGTTTGCAGTCCTTGGCTTTGATGAGCATTGAATAGCCTTGCAGCTTCAAAGCTTGGCTGCTTCCTGCCTGGGGGAATCCTTTGTTTGCAGTCCTTGGCTTTGATGAGCATTGAATAGCCTTGCAGCTTCAAAGCTTGGCTGCTTCCTGCCTGGGGGAATCCTTTGTTTGCAGTCCTTGGCTTTGATTAGCATTGAATAGCCTTGAGGCTGCAAAGCTTGGCTTCTTCCTGCCTGGGGGAATATTTTGTTTGCAGTCCTTGGCTTTGATTAGCATTGAATAGCCTTGCAGCTTCAAAGCTTGGCTGCTTCCTGCCTGGGGGAATCCTTTGTTTGCAGTCCTTGGCTTTGATTAGCATTGAATAGCCTTGAGGCTGCAAAACTTGGCTTCTTCCTGCCTGGGGGAATATTTTGTTTGCAGTCCTTGGCTTTGATTAGCATTGAATAGCCTTGCAGCTTCAAAGCTTGGCTGCTTCCTGCCTGGGAGAATCCTTTGTTTGCAGTCCTTGGCTTTGATTAGCATTAAATAGCCTTGCAGCTTCAAAGCTTGGCTGCTTCCTGCCTGGGGGAATCCTTTGTTTGCAGTCCTTGGCTTTGATGAGCATTGAATAGCCTTGCAGCTTCAAAGCTTGGCTGCTTCCTGCCTGGGGGAATCCTTTGTTTGCAGTCCTTGGCTTTGATTAGCATTGAATAGCCTTGATGCTTCAAAGCCTCGCTGCAAAACCAAGGACTGCAAACAAAGGATTCCCTCAGGCAGGAAGCAGCCAAGCTTAGAAGCTGCAAAGCTAGGAAATGAGGCAAGTGGACTGTCTATTTATTTTATTTTATTTATTTATTTCAATTACTTATACCCCGCCCTTCTCACCCCGAGGGGGACTCAGGGCGGCTTACAAAGAAGGCAGAATTAAATGCCTAAATCAATTAACAAAATATAAATACAACAAAACAATTCAACAGTTAAAGTTAAAACATCAGTACATAATAAAATATTAAAACAATCTCATGCTCGGGTTCAGAGTCCATATAACCATTCCATTCCATTTGTCGTTGTCTGTCATCAGATCCTTAATTTAGCTGCCAGTGTGTCCAAAGGCTTGGTCCCAGACCCAGGTCTTCAGTTGTTTCCTGAATGCCAGGAGGGAGGTCGCCGATCTAATCTCCCCGGGGAGTGAGTTCCACAGGTGGGGGCCACCGAGAAGGCCCTGCTCCTCGTCCCCGCCAACCTCACTTGTGAGAGTGGCGGGGTCGAGAGCAGGGCCTCCCCAGAAGATCTTAGACTCCGGGGTGGGACGTAAAGGGAGATCCGTTCGGACAGATACACTGGGCCGGAGCCGTATAGGGTTTTGTAGGTCAAAACCAGCACTTTGAATTGTCTGTGGAATGATGTCCAGGGTGGGAGAAAGAACCCTTGTCTGCTTGATTTAAGTGTGAATGTTGCAGTTGGACACCTTGTTTAGCATTTAATGGCCTTGTAGCTTCAAAGCATGGCTGCTCCCTGCCTAGAGGAATCCTGTGTTGGGAGGTGTTAGCTGGACCTGATTATTTCCTATCTGGAATCCCCCTGTTTTTGAGTGTTCTTCTTTATTTACTGTCCTGATTTTAGAGTTTTTAATGGCCTAGCAGTTTTCAAGGTGTGACTTCTAACTGCCTGGAGGAATCCTTTGTTTTGAAGTGATTCGCTGTCCCTGATTGTTTCTTGTTTGGAGTTTCCCAGTTTTTGAATGTTGTTCTTTATTTACTGTCCAGATTTCAGAGTTTTTTAAATACTGGGAGCCAGATTTTGTTCATTTCCATGGTTTCCTACTTTCTCTTGAAATTGTCCACCTGCTTGTGGATTGCAATGGACTTCTCTGTGTCGGCTGACATGGTAGTTGTGAGAGTGGTCCAACATTTCTGTGTTCTCAAATAATATGCTGTGTTCAGATTGGTTCATCAGTGTAAACAGATACCGGCAAACATATACAATACAATGAGACACACAAACATAAAAACAAAGGCAAAGGCTTCTCCTTTCATTTCCGGCTTTACAGGCGGTGCTCATCTCTGGCTCTGGGGAAGGTGCTATTCTCAGTTTCCAAGCCAAGGAGCCTGCGTTGTCACCTCCTGGTACTTCATCACACAAGAGAATGAATCCACTTTAAATCTGATTGCTGCCTCCTGCAGAATTATGGTGTTCGTAGTTTTGAGAGGAGCCTTTAACAGCCTCGTTAAACTACAAATCCCAGAATTCTGCAGGAGGCAGAAACCAGATTTAATGTGGATTCATTCTCTAGTGTGATGAGGTCACTGGTCAGTGTAAACGGTGTAAACAGACACCAGCAAAACATGTTACAATACAATGAGACACACAAACACAGACAAAGGCAAAGGCTTCTCCATCTCCAAGCCGAGGAGCCTGCGTTGTCACCTCCTGCTACTTCATTACAAAAGATGACGGTCACTGGTGATGAGGTTGCTTTTTTTTTTTGTCGTGTCAGGAGCGACTTGAGAAACTGCAAGTAGCTTCTGGTGTGAGAGAATTGGCTGTCTGCAAGGACGTTGCCCAGGGGACGCCCGGATGATTTGATGTTTTTATCATCCTTGTGGGAGGCTTCTCTCATGTCCCCGCATGAGGAGCTGGAGATGATAGAGGGAGCTCATCCGCCTCTCCCCGGATTCGAACCTGTGACCTGTCAGTCTTCAGTCCTGCCGGCACAGGACTGTGCCACCGGGGACTCCGATGAGGTCGCTGATCAATGTAAACAGATACCGGCAAAAATGTTACAATACAATGAGACACACAAACAAAGGCAAAGGCTTATTTATTTATTTATTTATTTATTTATTTATTTATTTATTATTTATTTACAGCTTTTATATTCCGCCCTTCTCCTCACCCCACAGGGGACTCAGGGCGGATTACAGTGTACACATATATGGCAAACATTCAATGCCAATTTTTGACATACAAATATATACAGACATACACAGAGGCTATTTAACTTTTTCTGGCCGCCAGGGGAGCTGTCGCTTTCATCGTCCATCTGCGACACTGATGAAGTACATCCGCATTCCCCGTATGCTTTTGCTGAAGTCTTTCTGGCCTCAGAAATCAGTTAATTTAGCCTCCCCACACTTTAAGGTGGTACCTTATTTTCTTACTTGACAGATGCAACTGTCTTTCAGGTTGCAAAGGTCGACAATGGGCTACACAATTGGTTGGAAACCCACTCCAACCCGGGCTGGCTTTGAACTCATGACCTTTTGGTCAGAGTGATCTTAATGCAGCTGACACTCAGCCAGATGCGCCACAATCCTGGCTTCTCCTTTCATTTCCAGTTTTGGAGGCGGTGCTCATCTCTGGCTTTCTCCATTTCCTCCTGGTTGCATCACTGGCATGAGTGCTTGGAGTGTCTTATGCCTTTCCTGCCAAAGCGGTACCTATTTATCTACTCACATTTGCATGTTGAAAAAACTGCAAGGTTGGCAGGAGCTAACAATGGGAGCTCGAATCATGCGTATTTGAACTGCCAGCCTTCAGGTCAGCAGTTCAGCAGCACAAGAGTTTAACGCATTGCACCACCACAACCCTGAGAGGCATTTGGGCTTGCTCATGGAGATGTGGCTTATTGGGGGGAATGGTTGCAATCCAGAATCAAAGATTTTGGAATTCCTTCCTGTTCAAGGGCCAGATTCAATTTCATCTCTTTTGGGAGCTGCATTACAGACACAAATGGGGGGGAAAGAATGGGAAAAACATCCACCCATTGTAGCCTAAAGCCTTGCTGCGAGCCTTTTACACGTGTGGAGTGGGAGCACAAAGAAAAACAGGGCGTTATCATGGGGCGTTATCATGGAGGGAGTCTCCAAAAGGCCTGAGGTTCTCGATCTAAGCATCTGCCTGTCTTGCCAAATGTTTGCAATGAGGAAAAAGTGCTGTCCCAAAATCCCAGCTTCCGACTTGCTCCCGATGCTGAAACATCTTACGGTTCCATGCCAGTTCCCATGGCAACTGTCTTCCTGTGGCTTCTGCTGCCACACTTCAAGCTCCATGCGCAGGGCTTGTGACTGCTAATTGTTCTATACAGCGGCAGGAACAAAAAAGGAAAGCGTGTGGGATGTTTCACAATGTGGACAATGAGATCCAGCACACTTGAAAGCTGGTTTGAAGCCTGGGAACCGTATCCTCCCTTCCTGCTTCCCCACTTAGCTCTTAAAAAACTCCCCCAAACCTTCCCTTTTTCAACTCAGAACACCACCTAATGTGAGCGATGTATAAATAGTTAAAGACGCCCGTTCTGTCCTTGGTTCTGAATATCTTTCTCTCGTGGCCTCTGCAGAGATCAGTCAGTTTTCTCCGTGGGTGAAGGACGGATGGAAATAAAGTGGGTTAAGCAGGGTGTCCATAGTTTTTGGGTATGGTGCCAAAGGAATCAATGAATATTACTACTACTACTACTACTACTACTAATAATAATAATATAATTAGAATAATAGAATCAAAGAGTTGGAAGAGACCTCATCCAGTCCAACCCCATTCTGCCAAGAAGCAGGAATATTGCATTCAAAGCACCCCTGACAGATGGCCATCCAGCCTCTGCTTAAAAGCCTCAAAGAAGGAGCCTCCACCACACTCCGGGGCAGAGAGTTCCACTGCTGAACGGCTCTCACAGTCAGGAAGTTCTTCCTCATGTTCAGATGGAATCTCCTTTCTTGTAGTTTGAAGCCATTGTTCCGCGTCCTAGTCTCCAGGATAGCAGAAAACAAGCTTGCTCCCTCCTCCCTGTGACTTCCTCTCACATATTTATACATGGCTATCATATCTCCTCTCAGCCTTTTCTTCTTCAGGCTAAACATGCCCAATTCTTTAAGCTGCTCCTCATAGGGCTTGTTCTTCAGACCCTTGATCATTTTAGTCGCCCTCCTCTGGACACTTTCCAGCTTGTCAGTATGTCTCTTGAATTGTGGTGCCCAGAATTGGACACAATATTCCAGGTGTGGTCTAACCAAGGTAGAATAGAGCATGGGGAGCATGACTTCCCTAGATCTAGACACTAGGCTCCTCTTGATGCAGGCCAAAATCCCATTGGCCTTTTTTTGCCACCACATCACATTGTTGGCTCATGTTTAACGTTGTCCACGAGGACTCCAAGATCTTTTTCACACGTACTGCTCTCGAGCCAGGCCTCGTCCCCCATTCTGTATCTTTGCATTTCGTTTTTTCTGCCAAAGTGGAGTATCTGGCATTTGTCCCCGTTGAACTTCATTTTGTTAGTTTTGGCCATTCATCTCTCTAATCTGTCAAGATCGTTTTGAATCCTGCTCCTGTCCTCTGGAGTCTTGACTCTCCCTCCCAATTTGGTGTCGTCTGCAAACTTGATGATCCTGCCTTCTAACCCTTCATCTAAGTCATTAATAAAGATCCTGAGCAGGACCGGGCCCAGGACGGAACCCTGTGGATGCCACTCCACTTGTCACTTCTTTCCAGGATGAAGAAAAAGCATTGGGGAGAATCACCCACTGGGTTCGTCCATTTAACCAATTACAGATCCACCTCACCGTAGTTTTGCCTAGCCCACATTGGACTAGTTTGTTTGCCAGAAGGTCATGGGGGACCTTGTTGCACTCCAGACCAGGAAGCCCTCTGACTTTAAACACCACAGAGTTGAGTAAAATGCAAGCAGTTTATTGAAGATAATTAAAGGCAATAGCAATAGAAAGCAATCCACAAAAATAGGTAAATCCAATTATGTAGAAAAGAAAGAGAGGAACAAAAAATCATCAGAGTTCATGACAATAAATACTGGAACTTCCAAGACAGAACTCCAAACGTTGAGCATGAATCAAACAAGGCACTTCAGCATGGAAAGATCAAGGCATTTGATACAAGCATCTATCCAAGACAAGGCGTCCACGGACCTGAGACGACATCTGGACTCAATTCCAACGTTGCTTCGTCTGACTACAGATCCTGTACTTGACACTTTTATCCTCTAATTTACTCTATATCCTAAGTGGCCAGGAAAGGATTTCTTTTCAGCCTTGACTTTATTATCAGTCTCTCCTGTAATCTGGCAGAGCACCTGAGAGCTTGGTTTGTTTTCCTTTGCTGACTGAAAGCACGTCTCCTATCTACTGACTCAAAGCCTTGGGAATTCTCTGGTAGCAATTCAGGCCCAGGGAACAGACCATTATCCCCAAACCCTTCAGGAATATTCTCATCACAAAATGCATTTTGAACAGGAATCCCATTGGCATTCCCTGCATCTAGAGCAACCTCATCATTAGACACATGAACCTCATTGTCACTCCCAACATCCAGAGTACCCTGATCATTAGACACAAACACAGGCTGAACTCCAGCAATACTTTATTTATCTTCCGCTCTATCTCCCTGAGGGGACTCAGGGCGGCTTCCAGTACACATATACGGCAAACATTCAACCCCGTTATACAATTAACAAAGACAGACAGTACATAAACAAAGGCAAAGGCTTCCTATCTTTTTCCATTTCTGGCATCTGGAGGCTGTGCTTGACTCCAGCCACAGGGGGTGCTGTCTCTCCATCTTTCATGCTGAGCAGCTTTGTTGTCGATAGACGTTCCCCTGATCGAATTGTCAGCATGTCTGGATGGGCACCTTTTATTACTTCCCCACCAAAGCAGTACCTATTTATCTACTCACTTTGCTGTTCTTGAACTGCTAGGTAAGCAGGAGCTAGGATTACGGCAGGAGCTCACCCCAACCTGGGCTTGAACTGCCTGCATGGGCACCTTTTATTACCTCCCTGCAAATGGAGTACCTTTTTATCTACTCACTGTTGTTGTCGAACGGCTAGGTTAGCAGAAGCTGGGTTGACGGTTGGGAGCTCACCCCAACCCAGGCTTGAACTGCCATCCTTTTAATTGGCAATATTTTCTGCAGCTGGGGGTTTAACTCGCTGTGGTAAAGCCGCTGCTTTATGGGTCACACATGCCACAGGCAATTGCATTCGGAGACCGGCTTGTAACATTTCCCCGTCCTGGTCTCCCTGTTCAGGATCAGGCCAGGAGAGACCACGTTGGCCAGCCAGAATGGCGCCAGGAGAGAGAAAAAGGCTGCAAGGAAGCAATGAACAAGGAATATATTTAGATCCCCTTTTTGTGGGTCACAAAACACCAGTCATGTCCACAAAGATCTCAACATTTCCAGAATTTTCTTTTAATCATATCAGAAGCAAATTGAGAATATACTGCATGCTGCTTCTGGTGTGAGAGAATTGGCTGTCTGCAAGGACGTTGCCCAGGGGATGCTTGGAGGTGTTACCATCCTGTGGGAGGCTTCTCTCATGTCCCCGCATGGGAAGCTGGGGCTGACAGACGGGAACTCACTCCACTCTCCGGATTCAAATCACCAACCTTTTGGTCAGCAGTCCTTCTGGTGTGAGAGAATTGGCCATCTGCAAGGACGTTGCCCAGGGGATGCCCAGATGTGTTATCCTGTGGGAGGCTTCTCTCATGTCCCCGCATGAGAAGCTGGGGCTGACAGACGGGAACACACTCTTCTCTCCAGATTCAAACCACCGACCTTTTGGTCAGTAGTCCTTCTGGTGTGAGAGAATTGGCCATCTGCAAGGACATTACTCAGGGGACGCCCTGATATGTTATCATCCTGTGGGAGGCTTCTCTCGTGTCCCCGCATGAGAAGCTGGGGCTGATAGACAGGAACTCACCCCACTCTCCAGATTCAAACCGCTGACTTTTTGGTCAGCAGTCCTTCTGGTGTGAGAGAATTGACCATCTGCAAGGACGTTGCCCAGGAGACGCCCGGAGGTGTTACCATCCTGTGGGAGGCTTCTCTCATATCCCCGCATGGGAAGCTGGGGCTGACAGAAGGGAACTCATTCCAGTCTCTGGATTCAAACCGCCGACTGTTTGGTCAGTAGTCCTTCTGGTGCTAGAGAATTGGCTGTCTGCAAGGATGTTGCACAGGGGACGCCTGGATGTGTTACCATCCTGTAGGAGGCTTCTCTCCTGTCCTCGCTGGGGCTGACAGACGGGAACTCACCCAGTCTCACGGATTTGAACCGGCCGACCTTCAGATCTTCAGGTCAGCAGTTCAGCCGGCACAAGAGTTTAACCCATTGCACCACTGCAGCAATGCCGCAGGTGACATGTTTTCGGTAGCCAGACAAATAGGTGAAATATTTTACCTCTACCTATACTCTCACCAATAGAAACATGAAGAGACGTCATGATACGTACCAGCTGTCATCACGTTGCTTACGGACAGAATCACGGAGAAGTAAAATAGCTCAGGAGTGGTTTTGGCCTGTTGGAGGGGGGGGGGAAAAGACATTTTCGTGCTTCTAAATGTGCTTTCCAACCGTTTCAAAACTAGCATTGTCTTCTAACTCACAAATGAAGACTAAGAGGGAGCTTTCTGGTTTCAGGAAAGGGAAGAACTGCACATCCCAAGTGCTGAACCTGACTCGGCAGATAGAAGATGGTTTTGAAAGACGGCAGGTTACAGGAGCTGTCATCATAGAGCTGTCATCAGCTTATGATATTGTAAATAGTCACCTCCTCCTGAAAAAATGTATAATATCACAAAGGATTGCCACCTTACCCGCTTCATGGGAAATCTGCTACAAAACAGGAGCTTTTTTGTTGAGTTTCAGGGTCAAAGAAGCAGGTGGTAAAAACAAAGAATGGCCTGACTCAGGGGAGTGTGCTTGCTCCATCAATGTTTAACGTTGACACAAATGACCAGCCACTACCAGAAGCGATAGAGAGTTTCATCTATGCTGACGATCGTGCCATCACTGCCCAAGCAGGGAGCTTTGAAATGGTTGAAAAGCATCTCTCCGAAGCCTTAGGTGCTCTGACTGTCTATTACAGGAAAAACCAGCTTGCACCATCAATGTTTAACATTTACACACATGACCAGCCACTGCCAGAAGGGACAAAGAGTTTCATCTATGCTGCTGATCATGCCCTCACCGCCCAAGCAGGGAGCTCTGAACAGATTGAACAGAAGCATTAGGTCAGTGTTTCTCAACCTGGGGGTCAGGACCCGGGGGGGGGGGTGATCGCGAGGGGGTGTCTGAGGGGTTGCCAAAGACCACCAGAAAACACAGTATTTTCTTTTGGTCATGGGGGGTTCTGTGTGGGAAATTTGGTCAACACCCACCAAACCCTTCCAGTATTTTCTGTTAGTCATGGGAGTTCAGTGTGCTAAGTTTGGTTCGATTCCATTTTTGGTGGAATTCAGATTGCTCTTTGATTCTAGGTGAACTATAAATCCCAGCACCTACAACTTCCAAAGGTCAAGGTCTATTTCCCCCAAATTCCACCAGTGTTCACATTTGGGCATATTGAATCTTCATGCCAAGTTTGGTCCAGAGCCATCATTGTTTGAGTCCACAATGCTCTCTGGATGTAGGTGAACTATGAATCCCAAACTCAAGGACAATGCCCACCAAACCCTTCCAGTATTTTCAGTTGGTAATGGGAGTTCTGTGTACTAAGTTTGGTTCGATTCCATTTTTGGTGGAGTTCAGATTGCTCTTTGATTCTAGGTGAACTATAAATCCCAGCAACTACAACTCCCAAATGTCAAGCTCTATTTCCCCCAAACACCACCAGTGTTCACAGTCGGGCATATTGAGTATCCTTGCCAAATTTGGTCCAGATCCATCATTGTTTGAGTCCACAATGCTCTCTGGATGTAGGTGAACTACGAATCCCAAACTCAAGGTCAATGCCCACCAAACCCTTCCAGTATTTTCAGTTGGTCATGGGAGTTCTGTTTATGCTAAGTTTGGTTCGATTCCATTTTTTGGTGGAATTCAGATTGCTCTTTGATTGTAGGTGAACTATAAATCCCAGCAACTACAACTCCCAAATGACAAAATCAATCCCCTTCCCAACCCTAGAAATCACTTTGACTTGTATGTGTTGTGCAGACCTAATTTACTCCTAAACCTATTCCTTTGTCCTTTTGGCCGTCCATGATGGTCACAGAACTCTCTCTGGAGATGAGTTGATGCTCTCCCTAACAGTTTCCTTCTCTGCTTGGGTTTCGCAACCATGTGTAGAAATAGGAAACACTACAAACACTTGCGCCTAAATGTCATGACAGTAGTGATCACTCACGCATTGTGTTGCCAAGGCTGTCAGCGCGGTGGTACAAATGCCTTGGGCCAAAGACGCCACGCCAAAGGCAGAGAAAGCGGTCTTCAGTTCCCACGGAAGGGGTTCCAGTGTGACCAAGAGCAGAGACAGACCTGCAGCGTTGCAAGGAGAGAGACCACATACAGGTCAGAAACCTTGGTTGTCGATACCCCTGGAGCATTCACACAGCTTTATGGGCTGTCTGGCCATGTTCCAGAAGCATTCTCTCCTGACGTTTCGCATGCATCTATGGCAGCCATCCTCAGAGGTTGTGAGGTTTGTTTGAAACTAGGCAAGTGGGGTTTATCTGTCTGTGGAATGATGTCCCGGGTGGGAGAAAGAACTCTTGTCTGTTGGAGGCAGGTGAGCTCCCGTCTGTCAGCTCCAGCTTCTCATGCGGGGACGTGAGTGAAGCCTCTCACAGGATGGAAACACGTCCGGGCGTTTCTTGGGCAACGTCCTTGCAGATGGCCAATTCTTTCACACTAGAAGGACTGCTGACTGAAAGGTTGGAGGTTTGAATCCAGGGAGTGGGGTGAACTCCTGTCTGTCAGCTCCAGCTTCTCATGCAGGGACATGAGAGAAGCCTCTCACAGGATGGTAACACATCCGGGCGTTTCCTGGGCAACGTCCTTGCAGACAGCCAATTCTTTCACACCAGAAGGACTGCTGACCGAAAGTTTGGCGATTCGAATCTGGGGTTGTAGGGTGAGCTCCCATCTGTCAGCTCCAGCATCTCATGCAGGGACGTGAGAGAAGCCTCCCACGGGATAGTAACACATCTGGGTGTCCTCTGGGCAACGTCCTTGCAGACGGCCAATTCTTTCACACCAGAAGGAATGCTGACCGAATCTGCGATTCGAATCTGGGGAGTAGGGTGAGTTCCCATCTGTCAGCTCCAGCTTCTCATGCAAGGACGTCAGAGAAGCCTCCCATGGGATAGTAACACATCTGGGTGTCCTCTGGGCAACATCCTTGCAGACGGCCAATTCTCTCACACCAGAAGGACTGCAGACCGACAAGTTGGAGGTTTGAATCCGGGGAGTGGGTTGAGTCCCTGTCTGTCAGCTCCAGCTTCTCATTCAGGGACATCAGAAAAGCCTCCCACAAAGCCTGACTGCAAAGCCAAGGACTGCAAACAAAGGATTCCCCCAGCAGGAAGCAGCCAGGCATTGAAGCTGAAAGGCTAGGAAATGAGGCAAGTGGACTGTATATCTATCTGCGGAAGGTCCCGGGTGGGATAAAGAACTCTTGTGGATCCAGGGACGTACCTGTGGCAAAGAAGGTGAAGACTATGCTTCCGACAAGGTTGTACAGAAGGGGCTGGCCGCAGTAGCGAACGGATTTGGGTCTGAAAAAGGCAGCATTGAGAAAAGCCCAAGTTAATAAACAGATACTGACATATTTATATCGTAATTAGCTTGGGTATTTGAAAAAGTCCGTTTTTTAATTGTACAAAAGGCATACGTTTGTGGGTGAACTACAACTCCCATCATGCCAGGTTAACCCCCTGAGACTTCGTCAGTACTTAAAAGTTTGTTCTGTTGGGCAGGTTTGCTCTGGATGTATAATCGGTGGGGTTCAGTGTGCTCTCTGGCTGTAGGGTAAACTACAACTCCCATTCTACTGAGTCAGTCCCATCAAACCCCTCCAGGAGATTGAGTCAGTCATGGGGGTTCTGTGTGCCAAGTTTGGTCCAGATCCATCATCGGTGGAGGTCACTGTTTCTCTGGTTGTGGGTGAACTACAACTCCCAGAAAGGAAGGTCAGTTCCCACCAAACCCCTCCAGTAATCAAATTTCGGCATATCAGGTTTGTGTGCCAAGTTTGGTCCAGACCCATCGGTGTTTGGATTCACAGTGCTCTCTGGATGTAGGTGAACTACAACTCCCCCAAATCAAAGTGAATTTTCCCCAAAAACCTCCAGTATTTTTTTGCTGGCCATGGGGACTCTGTGTGCCAAAGTTGGTCAAATTCCATCTTTGGTGGAGTTCAGAGGGCTCCTTGACTATAGGTGATCTGTAAATCCCAATATCCATAACTCCCAAATGCCCAGGCCAATTCCCCCCAAAATCCACCAGTATTCAAATTTGGGCCTATCGGGTATCTATGCCAAGTTGGGCCCAGATCCATCCTTGTTTAGGTTCACTGTGCGCTCTGGATGTAGGTGAACTACAACTCCTATAAATCCCTCCAAAGACCTCCAGTTTGTTTTATTGGTTATGGGGGCTCTATGTGCCAAGTTTGGTCCAATTCCATCTTTGGTGGAGTTCAGGGTGCTCTTTGATTGCAGGTGAACTATACATCCCAGTATCTACAACTCCTCTAACTCATGGTGAATTCTCCCCAAGCCTCTCTAATACGTTCATTTGCTGATCTATTCCTCTGTTTTCTGTGAGCCATTGAAGAGAATAGGAAAAGTTAAGGGAGAGGCGGTGGGTGGGGTCATGCAAATTCCACACCCATGGAGAGAAACACTGGGATGTCTGTGGAGGGGGAAACACATAAAAGAAACACTGGAATGTCTGTGGTGGAGGAAGCACATAAAGGAAATACTGGGATGTCTGTGGTGGATGAAACACATAAAAGAAACACTAGGATGTTTGTGGTGGATGAAACACATAAAAAACTGTGATGTCGGTGGTGGAGAAAACACATAAAAACACTGGGATGTCTGGTGGATGAAACACATAAAAGAAACACTGGATGTCTGTGGTGGAGGAAACACATAAAGGAAACGCTGTGATGTCTGTGGTGGAGGAAACACATACAATCCAGGATTAAATGGTCCCCATATGAAAGCCTTCACTAGGGTGGTAAGCAGTATGGTGTTTGTGGAGGACATTGGCAGGACTCTTGGACATGTTCATGGCGCTCACCGTAACCTGCAGTGTAATTGGAGGGAAGGCCATTGGTGTATCCTGAGTAGCGGGAACTATAGCTGTTTGTGGTGGCAGGGGCTTGTCTGTAAGTGGACACCCCAGCCACATACATATATATTTTCGCTTGTATTGTGTGTATAGATTTTGTACCAGGGCATAGTAATCTCTTTGCCGTGACTTGGATACATTCACATTTTGTCTTGTTGTGAGACTTCAGGCTTAATTCGTCCAATCCCACAGGCATTTTGAATCCTTTGGGTATGGAGTTTGCGTGCTCAGAGCTGCAAGGGGACAATATCAGGAAAGCGGCTGCAAGTCTCCTTGTGAATTTTCAAAACTTATCCCAAACCCCAAATACGAATGGGGCAGGCTGTGAGTTCTCTCTCCTCGAGAACACCGTGGGATATTGCGAGTGGCGTCCCACGCAGCCCAAAAGGCATAACAGTGTATCATAAGTGTACCGCATGAATGAAAGCCTTTATCTTTACCTTAGCAGGATGTGGAGTTGGAGGAGGAGAATGGAGATCCCAATGGCAAAGATGACAAGCTGGCTGAGGAGAAAGGAAGAAATGGAGAGAATGGTTGAGTTGTGGGAGTGGGAACACAACCTGCCACAGATCCTTGTCTTCCATGCTTCCTAGCCAGACAACTGGCTAGGAAGCATGGGAGGTGTCCAAAAAGATATCACGTCATGCAAGAGTTGCATCAGTGTTGATCCCTGGAACGTTATTATCCTATCTGAATTGTTGGAGGGCATACTTACAGTCTGGAGTGGTGGCGCTTTGGTAGGCTTCGGCCCATATGGTATGCAGCGTGGGCCAAGCAGAAGTAAATCATACCTGAACCTGAGAAGAGTGAAAACATCATTTTATAATACTAACAGTAATAATAATTATTCATTTATCATCTCAGAAGCAAATTGAGAATATAGTTAAAGCTTCAGAGAGCTTCTGTTCAACCATTTCAAAGCTCCCTGCTTGGGTGGTGATGGCAAGATCGTCAGCATAAGTTAAAGTCACGTGTTTGAGTATTTATGTATTTACCATGTCAGAAGCGAACCGAGGGTAGAGTTGTAATGTATTTAAAATCACAAACAAAGTTACAAACTTGGCATTATGCTAAATGTTCTTTGACTGGAAGCTGGCCACTTGGAGTGCCTCTGGTGTCACTATAAGAAGGTCCTCCATTGTGCATGTGGCAGGGCTCAGGCTGCATTGTAGTCAGTGGTCTGTGGTTTGCTCTTCTCCGCACTCACATTTCACAGACTCCACATTGTAGCCCAATTTCTTAAGGTTGGCTTTGCATCTTGTACCAGAATGCATCCTCCAAGGATGCCTTCCATAGATGCAGGCGAAACGTCAGGAGAGAATGCTTCTGGAACATGGCCAGACAGCTTTAAAAAACTCACAGCAACCCAATGATTCTGGCCATGAAAACCTTCCAACAACACATTCCAGGTCGCCCAGTCTTCGGAGAGCTTCTGCTCAACCATTTCAAAGCACCCTGCCTGAGTGGTGATGGCACGATCGTCAGCATAGACAAAGCTCTCTGTCTCTTCTGGCTGTGCTTGCTCCATCAATGTTTAACAAATTATTTTTTTTATTTTTATTGTGTATACCATCTTTCTCAGCCTGTAGGTGACTCAAGGCGGTTAACAGAGCAACATCCAATGCTTACAATGTCATAAATAAAATTAAAAACATAACATACAATAAAAAGTAAACAAATCAATAAAATATAAATTCATGTTAAAAAATTGTCTGGACTCATTGTCTAGTCGTTCCATTTTTCTATGTCAGTTACTCTGCATTTACAAACACAACTTTCACAAATGACCAGCCACTGCCAGAAGGGACAGAGAGTTTCATCTATGCTGATGATCGTGCCATCACCACCCAAGCAGGGAGCTTTGAAATGGTTGAACAGAAGCTCTCCGAAGCTTGAGGCGCTCTTACTGCCTATTACAGGGAAAAGCAGCAGTTTCCTAATATATATATTACTTATAATTATATATAATGTATTAAAATTATGTATAATATAATAGTATAATATTACCTTGTTATCATTTCAAGATATTATTATTGTGTATTAGCTGTACCTGCCACGCGTTGCTGTGGCCAACCTTCCCTCCCTCTTTCTCTCCTTCTTTCTTTCTCTCCTTCCTTCCCTCTTTCCTCCCTTCCCTCTTTTTCTTTCCCTTCTTCTTTCTTCCTTTCTTCTCTACCTGTTTCTTTCTCTCTTCTTTTGCTCTTTGGTTCCATCCTTCCTTGTCTCTTTCCTTCCTTCCCTCCCTCTTTCTCTTTTTTGTTCCTTCTCTCCTTCCTTCCCTCTTTCACTTTTTTATTTCCTTCTCTCCTTCCTTCTCTACCTTCCTTCCTTTCCTTCTCTCATTCTTTTCCCTTTCTTTCTCTCTTTCTCTCCCTCCTTCTCTCCTTCTCTACCCTTCTTTCTTTCCTTCTTTCTCTCCTTCCCTCCTTCTTTCCCTCTTTCTTTCCCTCCTTCTCTCCTTCTTCTTCTTCCTTCCTTCTTTACCTTTCTTTCTTTCCTTTTTTCTCTCCTTCCCTCCTTCTTTCCCTCTTTCTCTCCCCCTCTTTCTCTCCTTCCTTCTCTACCCTTCTTTCTTTCCTTCTTTCTTTCCTTCTCTCCCTCCTTCCTTCTCTACCCTTCTTTCTTTCCTTCCCTCCTTCTTTCCCTTCTTCTTTCCCTTTTTCTTTCTCTTTCTCTCCCTCCTTCCTTCCTTCTCTACCCTTCTTTCTTTCCTTCTTTCTCTCCTTCCCTCCTTCTTTCCCTTCTTTATCCCCTCTTTCTTTCTCTATTTCTCTCCCTCCTCTCCTTCCTTCCTTCTTTACCCTTCTTTCTTTCTCTCTCCCTCCTTCTTCCCCTCCTTCTCTAACCTTCTTTCTTTCCTTTTTTCTCTCCTTCCCCCTTTCCCTCTTTCTCTACCTCCTTCTCTCCCTCCTTCTCTCCCTTCCTTCCCTCTTTCTGTGTATGTGTTTTGTGTGTGTATATGCATAGATGTGTATATATGTGTGTGTTTGTGTATAGATATGTGGTTTTGCGCATGCATTGTAATGTATTTTTGAGGGGTAGCTTTTTAAGTCTCGTCTGTTGTGTTTTTCGGTGTTTTTATGAGTGATGGTCACTCGTTGGCCTGAGAGGTGTCTTGTGTCCAAATTTGGTGTCAATTTGTCCAGTGGTTTTTGAGTTATGCTAATCCCACAAATTAACATTACATTTTTATTTATATAGATATATTGAGGGGCTCCCAATCGTTTAATCTACGCTGATGATTGTGCCATCACCGCTCAAGCAGGGAGCTTTGAAATGGTTCAACAGAAGCTCTTCGAAGCTTTAGGTGCTCTTACTGCCTATTAGACTGGAAATTAAATAAATTATTATTATTATTATTATTATTATTATTATTATTATTATTATCTGAGAAGGAATCTCACTGGAGCATTGCAGCACATCGAAACACCTGGGAGTTTCCCAGGACCGTGCTCTGACTTATTGGAAGCACTACTTGAATATCAAGCAAAAATTGTGTGCTAGAAATAATATTGGACAAAAGCTGACTGGCACAACCTGGGGATTACAACCAGACACAGTGAAGACATCTCCCCTTGCGCTTTGCTACTCTGCTGATGAGTATGCATGCCCAGTGTGGAATACATCTCACCATTCTAAAACAGTGGTTGTGGCTCTTAATGAGACGTGCCGCATTATCACAGGATATCTATGCTGTTCACCACTGGAGAAATTATACTGTTGAGTCGGTAGTGCATTGTCTGATATCCATTATGAAGGAGCAACCAGCAATGAAAGCACCAAGGCATGGACATCTCCGGTCCATCCTCTGTCCATCAAGAAATAGCTTCCTAAAATCGACAGAGATACTTGCAGGAACTCCTCAGCAAGCAAGAGTCCAAAAGTGGCAGGCTAAAACTGGGAACCTCAATCAGTGGCATTTAAAAACCCACTAAACAGCATGGAACAAAAAGCAATAAATGCATTTGGAAAAGTCAGCCAGGACAGGGAAAGTTTTCACATGGAGGATTGGCAGAATTAGCACAGAGAGAGAAACAAGAAAGGCACAGACATCAAAAAAGCTAAAGTAGGCATTTGGTCCGGAAAGAGGGAGGACGAATGATCAGAAGTCCATATGTAGGGCAGTACCTTTTTTTAGGCCAACTAAGAGTAGCATGCGGAGTTCTGAATTCTCTTTCCTTCTTCGTTGGGTTAGAACAGGGAGTAACCACGTGTTCTCTTGATTGACAGCTCCCTTCTTCCTTTGTTGTTGCTGGATAGGGCTGATGGGAGCTAGAGTTCCCATGACAATGCCTTAGGATTAGGCGATGAACAAGTCTGCTGGAGTTCAAATTACACTCCTGGGAGGTGGTTTCAGGTTGCAAGAGGCCTCTCTGCAGGATGGCAAAACAACGAAAGATTGAACAGATAGATATATCCACACGGAGCCCTGTTGCCATGCAGTGTAATACGAGGGTTGATTGAAAAGTAATGCCTCCACCTTCGTAACTCCTCGACCAATGGCAGTACTGGTATGCAGCAGGTACTGGCTTGTTCAGTAGACTCTCCTCTACAGTTCCATTGTGGCAGGAAGCCTTAGCATTGAACGAACCTTCGTAACTCTTCAACAGATGGCAGTACTGGTATGTGGCAGGTACTGGCTTGTTCAGTAGACTCTCCTCTACAGTTTCATTGTGGCGGGAAGCCTTAGCATTGAACGGATCTTCATAACTCCTCAACTGATGGCAGTACTGGTATGCAGGAGGTACTGGCTTGTTGAATAGACTCTCCTCTACAATTCCATTGTGGCGGGAAGCCTTCACATTGAACAGACCTTCGTAACCCCTCAACAGATGGCAGCACTGGTATGTGGCAGGTACTGGCTTGTTCAGTAGACTCTCCTCTACAGTTCCATTTTGGCAGGAAGCCTTAGCATTGAACAGACCTTTGTAACTCCTGAACAGATGGCAGTAATGGTATGCGGCAGGTACTGGCTTGTTCAGTAGACTTTCCTCTACAGTTCCGTTTTAGCAAGAAGCCTTAGCATTGAATGGACCTTCATAACTCCTCAACCGATGGCAGTACTGATATGCGGCAGGTACTGGATTGTTCAGTAGACTCTCTTCTACAGTTCCATTTTGGCAGGAAGCCTTAGCTTTGAACTGATCTTTGTAACTCCTCAACCGATGGCAGTACGGGTATGCAACAGGTACTGGCTTGTTCAGTAGACTCTCCTCTATAATTCCATTTTGGTGGGAAGCCTTAGCATTGAATGGTTGTGTTGTTAAAGTGCGAAGTATGGAACCCTGTGCAGATGGTCGGTCAATGCGACTTAAGCAACGTGCAAGTTCCATTGTGGCGGGAAGCCTTAGTATTGAATGGACCTTTGTAACTCCTCAACCGATGGTGGTACTGGTATGCAGCAGATTTTGTTCAGCAGTCCAAGGCAACAGCTTCGGTTTATCATCTTACGTTCTCTCCCTCCCTCTTGCAGTTGTTCTGTGGCACCTCAAAATAACTTCTCTCTCTCTCTCTCCTGTTTGCCTTTTCTATCGCTTCTTTCTGTTTTTTCCTTGATCCCTTTGCAGCATGTGATTCCGCCAACTCTTTTCGTCTTCACCAAAGGCCCATGGAGAATTCGGACACCAAAACTGAGGTGGTCCTTCTGGCCTGCGGGTCTTTCAACCCCATCACCAACATGCACCTCCGGCTCTTTGAATTGGCGAAGGATCACTTGCACGAAACAGGTAAGACCAAAAACTCCTTTCTCTCTCAAGACCAGGTTTCCCTCCACCTGGGTCTCCTTAGTCTACCTTTCCCATCATTCACAGCCAGTGATGGCAGAGGATGCTGGGATCTGGAGTCAAACAGATACCAGGCTGCCACAGCTGGTTGTTTCTATGCCAGTTTGGGGGGGAAAGGCTATGCAAGCTGGTTTTAAAAGCGGATTCAGCACTCTGGATAGCTTTGTAAAATTTGGACCGATTCATTGCCTAATAATAATAATAATAATAATAATAATAATAATAATATACTTTATATTCTGCCCTATCACCTCGAGGGGACTCAGGGCGGATTAGAGTACACATATACGGCAAACATTCAATGCCGTTATACAATCAACAAAGACAGACAGTACATAAACACAGGTAAAGGCTTCCCATCGTTTTCCATCTCCGGCATCTGGAGGCTATGCTCAATTCTGACCACAAGGGGGTGGTGTTGCTCCATCTTCCATGCCAAGGAGTTTTGTTGTCCGTAGGCGTCTTTCCGATTGAATTGCCGGCATGTATTCATGAGCGCCTTTTATTACCTCTCCTCCTCACATTGTCGTTTTCGAACTGCTAGGTAAGCAGAAGCTGGGGTTGACAGCGGGAGCTCACCCTAATCCGGGCTTGAACTGCCATCCTTTTGATCGGCAAGAATTTCTGCACCTGGCCGTTTAACCTGTTGCACTAAAGTCCCAAAGTTGTAAATTACTGACAGATGTCTTTCCATCCTGGAACATGTTGATTCCATCTCCCTTTCCCGGACAGATGTTGACTCTCCTTGATTGGTGTTAGGCTTGTGTCGACTTCCTTCTTAACATTGGAAACATTTTGTCTTATCCAACAGAGAGATCTAAAGGTCTCCCAGGCTTTTCTTATGAAAGCTACCACCACTGGATAGATGATGATGATGATGATGATGATGATGATGATGATGATGATGATGATTATTATTATTTTGTCGCATACCTACAGGGAAGTACAAAGTAGTGAAAGGCATCATTTCCCCCGTGGGGGACGGATATAAGAAGAAAGGCCTGATTGGCGCTAAGCACCGCGTGGCCATGGCAAAGCTGGCAACGGAGAGCTCCGACTGGGTGGAAGTGGACGACTGGGAGAGCAGCCAGAAGGAATGGCAGGAGACCATCAAAGTCCTCCGGTACGGTCCTTTTCCAGAGTGCGGCATTAGCTGTACTCTCCCTCTTATACAATTGCAATATAGACTTAGACTGCAGGCCAATCCACACTTTCCGCAGAGCAGCCTCCACTGAAACCAATGGCCCTTATTTCCAACCACTTATATATGGAGCCAGCATGAACTATGTCTGTTAGACTATGAATCCCGGAGCCCTTTTAATGTTGTAGCACAGCAAGCTTCAGAGGATGAGGCAGATTTTGGGTTTCAAAATGAGGAGTTTGTGAGTGATCAGAGAGAATTGCAGGAAGTTGAGGCCAAGGCAGAAGAGGCCGACATTTGGGATTCTGGTGCTGGTTCCCAGACAGCTAGGGAAAAGTGAAAGTCCTTGAGCTGATGGGGAGTTTCCCAGGAGACAAGATTAGGCCTGAGAATGGAGGGAGTCAAAAACAGGCAAGAATCTGTGATTAGATCGTGAAGCCCAGGTGTGTTTGGCATGATGTCATGGGTGCCTGGACAAGCTTCAAGCCTCTCAGAGGAGACAACATTGCTAAAGGCAGATTTTCCTGTCTCTGTTCTCAAGTTCATGATTCAAATTTCCTGTTCTGGCTCATGTCTTTGTTCTTGGAAGAAGCTCATGTTTTCTGGTTTCTGATTTCTTGTTTGAATAACTGCTGTGGATTCTGGTTCTCTTTATGTACTCTGCTAACAGCGGGAGCTCTTCCCGCTCCCCATATTCGAACCGGCAACTTTTTGGTCCACAAGTTCAGCAGCTCAGTGGTTTAACCCGCTGCACCACCAGGGACTCCAATATAATATACCATAGAGTCACGCTTATCCGACATTGACGGGCTGGCAGAATGTCAGAAAAACGAAAATGTTGGATAATATGGAGTCTCCTACTGCTACCTGTCTGATTCGGCGCTAGACATCTAGAGTACTAACGACAGGGATTCAAAGAGTTAAGGCAAGGCAACGCCTCGGGGCCAGAGAGGCCCAGTAGGAAGTTCCCAGATGCAGAAGAGGAGCGTGGAAATCACAGAGGGAAGGAGGGAGGACGTTTCTGTTTCCGGCCCTGCTTCTTTTCCCCCTTTCCTCCCTCCTCTTCCTTCTCCTTGTCTTGCCTGTTTAACTTATTGGAAATGGAGAGAGAGTTTGGGAGCATTCCTTTGATTGAAGGGAAAATATTGGAGGAAAAAGAGGCATCAGATAAGAGTGTCAGATAAGACAGAATGTCGGATAAGTGAAGGTTGGATAAGTGAGACTCTGCTGTATTTTCTGTTGGGACTCAGCCTGTGATTGAACTTGAGCTTGTGAGTGAACCTGTGATTGTGTTTCAGTCTCCTGATGTTTCTGTGTCTGATGTGGGTAATGAGGAGGGAAATCAGTCCCCTGTTGCTTCTGATGTGGGGGATGCTAGGGCTGATGGAGACACTTTGGTCAATGAGTTTTATGCAGACACTGACAGAGAGGCTTCGGTGCAAAGGGCAGATTCTCATGAGAATGTTTCTGTCAGGCCTTGGGAGGAAGGTTTACTCCCTCCGTTTGTGAGCCCTTCAGATTCTAGTTTGGAAAACAGTCTGACACCTGCTAAAGTTATTGAGGAGTCAGATAAGCAGAGTCGGTGGCTGGAGATTAGCCAGAATCGACAAGAGGCCCAATGTTTACGTAGATCGGAAAGAATTAGTCAGTTAAGGTTAAAGACTGGAGGAAAATGAAATCAATTTTTGGGATTTAAGGTTTGCCTTTAGAAAATCTTGTCAGATCAGGCATCATTTGGAAACCAAGCACAAGCTTCATGGAATTCCTGTTCAAGTGGTCTCGTCTTCATGGTTTTTTCTAGCCTTTCAAGTTGACTAGCAGCATCTGGTCTGTTCTTGCTTCTTGGTTGATTCCTATCTGGATAACCATTGCCTTGGATTGTATTTTCATGCTTTATGGACATTGTTTTTTATTGCTATGTTTGGACACTGTTCTATCTTGCTGCCTTTGAATGCCTTATTGCTTTTTGGAATCTTCTATCTTTACAAGCATTTATTTCTACTGGCTTTTTTGGCTAAGTTTTAATAAAAAGGATTGTTCCTTCACTCAACGTGTGGTGTGTTTTTAGTCAGCGGGGCTACTTCCTGTTCTGATGTGCAACAGTTACAATTAAATTAAACATGAACAGTATTTTTTTTAAACTAAACAGTTACAACCCTTAAAACCAATTAGAAACCTATTCAGATACCACCACCTCTGGTCTTGACTGTAAACACTTCCTTCGCCTGTTGTCATTTCAAACTCTGCTCTTTGTCATAGGCATCACCAGCAGAAGGTGAAGCATTCGTGTCTCGCAAAGAGTTTTGACAACGTCGCTCCTCTGAACAAAGCAGGACGGAAAAGGAAGCGGGAGGCAAGCGGCCAACAGAGAAATCAGGCGCAGACAAAAGGTTGGGTTTCATATCAACATGACAGAATCGCAGGAGACGACTTGGARGTTTYTAGAAACGGGTGAATGCCCACTGAGTACAAGCGCCTGGACTCTTTCCCTCAGAGCTACTAAGAGACTAAACGTATTTCCCTCAGAGCTACTAAGGGAATAAACGTATTTCCCTCAGAGCTATTAAGAGACTAAATGTATTTCCCTCAGAGCTACTAAGAGACTAAACGTWTTTCGCTCAGAGCTACTAAGGGACTCAACGTTTTTCGCTCAGAGCTACTAAGGGACTCAACGTATTTCCCTCAGAGCTACTAAGGGACTCAACKTATTTCCCTCAGAGCTACTAAGGGACTMAACKTATTTCCCTCAGAGCTACTAAGGGAYTAAACGTATTTCCCTCAGAGCTACTAAGRGACTAAACGTATTTCCCTCAGAGCTACTAAGRGAMTAAACGTATTTCCCTCAGAGCTAYTAAGAGACTAAACGTATTTCCCTCAGAGCTACTAAGAGACTAAACGTATTTCCCTCAGAGCTACTAAGGGACTAAACGTATTTCCCTCAGAGCTACTAAGGGGCTAAATGTATTTCCCTCAGAGCTACTAAGGTACTAAACGTATTTCCCTCAGAGCTATTAAAAGACTGAACGTTTTTCCCTCAGAGCTACTAAGGGACTAAACGTATTTCCCTCAGAGCTACTAAAAGACTAAACGTATTTCCCTCAGAGCAACTAAGAGCCAAAAGTATTTCCCTCAGAGCTACTAAGAGACTAAACGTATTTCCCTCAGAGCTACTAAGAGACAGACTGTCTGGAATGCCATACTCCCAAAGACTATGGCCCTGTGAAGGTAAAGAAATAGAAACAATAGAATACATTTTATTACAGGGCTGCTATTACACAGTGCCAACTTCTATATCCAATTTTGTCTCATGCCCAGCCATCCCATGCACGGGATTGTTAGATCTCAATTAGAGGACAAGTACCACGGTTTTTCCAACATTTGGATGCCAAGGAGAGACAGTTACGGTTTCCTTTTTCCAATAGTGTCAACCTAATTGTTCATCTCCCTGCCTTTTTTGTGTGTCTTTTCTTCCCAGCAATCCCTCACCTGATGATGTTGTGTGGGGCTGATGTCCTGGAATCTTTCCGCATCCCTAATCTCTGGAAACCAGAAGACATGGCAGAAATTGTTGCCGAGTACGGTGTGGTCTGCGTCTCCCGAGTTGGGAACGTCGCCCCGAAATTCATCTACGAATCCGACCTGTTGTGGAAGCACAAGGCGAACATCCACCTGGTGGAAGAATGGGTCGCCAACGACATCTCGGCCACCAAGATCCGGAGAGCGCTGAGGAGGGGCCAGAGCGTCCGGTATCTGGTCCCAGATGCCGTTCTGACCTACATCGAGCAACACAACTTATATACCGCGGAAAGCGAAGAGCAGAATATGGGGGTGGTCCTGGCCCCTTTGCAGAAATACGCAAAGGAGGCCACCAAAAATTGAATAGTCCTCTGTAGGCCCAGTCCCAGACCAGACCTCGTCAAGCTGTGGCACTTCCGGTGTTTTGGACTTCATCTCCCAGAGCATTGGAGAAGCAGGTTAAGGATTCTGGGAGTTGGGGGCCCCAACATCTGGAGGGCCACAGCCTTGGATATAGTGTGGACTAAACCCCAGAGAAGGGAAGCTGGTGCCTTATTCTCTCCTAAAGAAAGTAGAAGGCTCTCTCCGATCATTTGAGGCTGCTTGCTTAGCTCTCGAGATGTTATCCCACTCTCTTTATGGGATGCTGGGGTAGGTGATGCTCAAAAGAGGTCAGGGAATGTGACGAGCGCCCCATTTCGGGATGCGACTGTTACATAAAGTATTCTGCTTTGGAGGATATGGGAATGGCCGCTGCTCTACTGGTTCATATTGCCTTCCACGGGATGGCCGCTTAAGTGTCTTATGATCCCAAGTGCTAAAATGGTCTTCAGAGGTGTTGACCATCAGTGTGAGTGTTGATTGCTAAGCTGTGAAAGAAGCTCTCTCAGAATATTTTGGAATGCTGCATATGTGGTCTCACTGGGAAGTAATTATCCACATAATGTTGTTGTTTGTTTTGTTTTTTTTCAATGCTCTCCCTGACCCCACTGGCTTTCAGCCTAAAAAGGTTTTGTTTTTGGGTTGCTGTGAGTTTTCTGGGTTATCTGGCCGTGTTCCAGAAGCATTCTCTCCTGACGTTTTGCCTACATCTATGGCAATCATCCTCATAGGTTGTGAGGTCTGTTAGAAACTAGGCAAGTCAGGTTTACAATGTTTCCTCACTTATYGCAGGTGTTCCGTTCCAGGACACACTCAGAGGCAGCCTCCTCTGTTGCAACCCAGAGCAGGAAACTGGACCCTCAGACAACAATTCACCACACTTGGCTTCAGGAAAACAATCCTTTTTTATTGATGAAAGATGAATACAAAATAGAGGAAAAAMTGCAAARGTAAAAAGCCACCATAAAAATCAGCAACAAGAAATGTCCATAAACAAGACCATGAAAYCCACAGCAAACTGCTGAATCCTGGRACCTGTTAGCAAATCCACTAACCGTACTTGAGGCAACTAGAAAAATCTCCRAGGAACAAAGCCACAGGAATCCRGAGACCTGCAAACGCTGGCACATGAAACTGKAACAATGCCTGGCCTGAAGMTGTATTCACAGCAGTCATATTTAAGGCCAAGAAATCTATTGCGAGACACGCCTGAAGATTTTGTTTGGATTTCTTTCAATCTGGCTGACCTGCGTAAACATTGAGCTTCTCCCCGACTCTGCCAAWTCTGCCCCYGCCTATCCTCATTAGGCAGACCAGGTGCCTGATTCTCTGGAGAGCTAAAACTGGGAGGAAAAGGGAGTGAACCGTCTCCGCTTGGCTCGGAATGTAAGTTCTCAGGGGAATCTTGACTTTCACTTTCCAAGGCAGTGGGATTTTCACTACTCAAACCATCCTCATCTAAATTGGCCTCAGAATTCACATGGGCATCAGGAAATACAATGAGAGAGTCAGGTTCAAATTCACACACAGGCTGAACCCCAACATCCTCTTCCTTGCAACCTCCACTGTTCCCGGCCTCGGAGGCCCCTTGGGCACCATTGATGACACTGCCAGGCACCCTATGGGCCTCTGAGGCCTGGAGTAGCGGAGACGGGGAGGAGGAGGAGAAGGCCGCCACCGAGTAGGCGGAGCATCCCTACTTGGGATTTTCACTTATCATGGGTGGTCCCGGAATGGAGCTGCGGAGGTGGTGAGAAGGAGGAGGCCGCCGCCGAGTAGGTGGAGCATCCCTAGTTGCGGATTTTCACTTACCACGGGTGGTCCTGGAACGGAGTTGCGGAGGCGGCGAGAAGGAGGAGGCCACCACCGAGTAGGCAGAGCATCCCTACTTGCGGATTTTCATTTATCATGGGTGGTCCTGGAATGGAGTTTGTGAGAAGGCAGTGAGAAGGAGGAGGCCATCGTCGATAAGCCCAGAGACAAGCCCCAGAGTAAGACCCAGTGCCTGGCTCCTCCTCTTCCTCCTCCTTCCTCCTCCTCTCCCCCCTCCCATGACTTCGGGGGGGGGGGGGGGAGAAAACGGTGAAACAGTGAGTCCGCAATAAGAGAACCGCGAAATAGCAAGGGAACACTGTATACATCCGTGAAATAATGTCCAGGGTGGGAGAAAGAACTCCCAACAAAGGATTCCCCCGGGCAGGAAGCAGCCAGGCTTTAGAGCTGCAAGGCTATTCAATGCTAATCTTACTAAGCATCTGTATCTCATTGGTGTCGGGTTCAGAATCACTAGCAATGTACACAGCCTTTGCATCTACCTTCCTTGCCCAAAGTTTGAGGGCTCACTTGATCTCGTTCAGGCCTGGCAAACACATTCCCGTGGCGAGTGGGCCAGCAGTGTTCCGATTGTAGCCCACACATTGCGGCAAAGCCATGAAGTGGGACCCAGCTGTGCCATCCTTCAACATGTTGCATGTGTTTTTCCAGTCTGGACCCACACGCAAATGGATTCTGACCAGGAACAAACCGATGGAAGACTTGCCCTTCTCCACCATTTCATCTGACCACATCATGTACCGAGTCAAAGACCGGTACTTCTCCAAAACCGTGAATTTTGTCCAGGCCTGATCTACATTCTCGGAGGAATGTGAGGCTACATCTCCTCCACGTCAAAGTCCTATGGAATCCTGGGATCTGTAGTTTAGCACCTTAATTTTGGAGTACGAATGGGCTTCATCCACTTCTTGTTTGGGGGATCGGGATTTGTTGGCAAAAGTAATGTCCCTGGAGGAGAAGTACCCTGCTGCAGGCAGGCGCGTGCAGGACCTGAATGCTACACACACACTCTTTCCATGGCAAGGTGGCATGGAGGCCCACATGCTCACGAAAGCAGAAGGATAGCTGGTGATTGGTTCCCGATGGTTTTCGTGTCAAATGGGTTTTCCCATTACGTGCTCCCGAAGGTGCCGGAAGTGCCTGTCATACACCAGAGCAGGATGATCTCTGACCTCAAACACCACACCAGCTTGGTAAAATCAGCAAGAATATATGTAGGCGAAGCAGTAAACAATAGCAAAAAACAGTAATGTTCCCAAAACAAAGGATAGTCCGCGAGCTTCAAGGCAAAATAAGATCTATTGGAACAACAATCCATGAAACAAGGCAGCATGAAAAATCCAAAACACAAAATCTAGCTTGGCAAAAACTTGGTACATGAAACATAGAACACTTGAAAGCAAGGCCATCATAAAATTCCAACGTTGACCCAACTGAGACAAATTTTCTCATGAATCAATATAAGGCTTTTCCAAATCCCAGAACCGAAAGGAAAGCATTTCTCTTGACCTTCCCACCAGATCAAGGTTTCTTATCTCTCTTTTCCTGTAAACTAACAGATCTTCTTTGCGACACAAATCAAGAGCTTGGCAGAAACTTGGTACATGAAATGAAGAACACTTGAAAGCAAGACCATCATAAAATTCCAACGTTGACCCAACTGAGACAACTCTTTCCCATGAATCAATATAAGGCTTTTCCAGATCCCAGAACTGAAAGGAAAGCATTTCTCTTGACCTTTCCACCAGATTAAGGTTTCTTATCTCTCTTTTCCTGTAAATTAACTGATCTTCTTTGGTCCTGAGCACTCTGTCTCTGTTTAGAAAAGCCTTGCCTTCTATCTACACTCTCCTTAACTTGACTCTCATTAACATCTTCACCTGACAAATCATCTTCAGTTGCTCTGAGAAAGATCCAATATATGAAATAGTCCATAAGCTTCAAAGGAAAACAATTTTGATGTTTTATGCTATTTTTTTTACCAATGTTGCCAACACTGTGAAACGCCTGATGAGAAGGGATACCGCAAATCCATACATAAATAAACAAGATCCATAAGCACATTAAAAAGCCGTGAAATTAGACACTTGAATCCATGAAACAAGACAGCAGGAAACATCTCATAAAAAAATCTTAAACTTGGCAAAAACTTGTTACACGAAACTCAGAGCACTTGAAAGCAAGACCGTGATAAAATAACAACGTTGACCCAACTGAGGCACAGGATTTTCTGTATCCCTTTTATTCCTCCCTGGCGATATAATGTGACTTGGCAACACTGGGAAATAATTTAGGGGCGGATAAGAGAATGTGGAAACTCACAATGTCTGTTGTGATTCAAGTTCGAAGGGACAACGCTGCTTTTCAAAAAGATTGTGTGGAAATGATCTCAAAGCAATCTTCACGGAATGCGTTCCCAATGTGTTGGCACCCCCAGTCATCAAGAGGTTGATGGGATGTGTAGTCCAACACATCGGGAAGCACCCCAGGTTCCTGGTGTTTACATCCTTGAAGACAATCAACGTTGCCGTGTTTTATGCAAGGGCGTAATTGATTTTTTAAAGGATTTTTTTGAAATTGTACGAAATCGTTGAATGTTGATTTCTTCTGTATCCAGTTGTGTTGTCGTTTCCTCTGTTTCAGAAATCCACAATAGAGGGTTGAATGTATAATTCAAGACAAGCATAACCACAATGGTTCTGTGTTTACTTTGTAATGCGGGTGTATAGGTGGCTATTCCTGCACTTCGTTTCTCATGCTGGAGACGTCTTGCTCATGAGCCAGAGATCACTAGGCCACCTTGTGTGGACATCTGGACACATAATAAAAGTGGAATTACGTATGTGTGTATGTACTTGGGGTGTCCGCTCACACAGACAAGCTCCTTCCTCCACAAAGAGCTACAGTTCCCACTACTCAGGAGACACCAAAGGCACTCCCTTCAATGACATTCCAGGTTGTAGTGAGCGCCATGAACATGTCCAAGAGTCCTGCCAAAGTCCACCTCCAACACCACACTGCCCACCACCCAAGGGAACGCTTTTACATGGGGACAATTCCATCCTAGATTTTATGTGTTTCCTCCACCACAGACATCCCAGTGTTTCTTTTATGTGTTTCAGCCACCACAGACATCCCAGTTTATCTTTTATGGGTTTCCTCCACCACAGACACCCCAATGTTTCTTTTATGTGTTTCCTCCACCTCAGACACCCCAGTGTTTCTTTTATGTGTTTCCTCCACCGCAGGCATCCCAATGTTTCTTTTATGTGTTTCCTCCACCACAGACATCCCAGTGTTTCTTCCACTACAGACATCCCAGTGTATCTTTTATGTGTTTTCTCCACCACAGACACCCCAGTGTTTCTTTCATGTGTTTCCTCTACCTCTGCAGTCTTTCTTTTATGTGTTTCCTCCACCACAGACATCCCAGTGTATCTTTTATGTGTTTCCTCCACCACATGCATACCAGTGTTTCTTTTGTGTGTTTCCTCCACCACAGACATCCCAGTGTTTCTTTTATGTATTTCCTCCACCACAGACATCCCAGTGTTTCTTTTGTGTGTTTCCTCCACTGCAGACATCCCAGTGTGCCTTTTATGTGTTTTCTCCACTGCAGAGGTCCCAGTGTGCCTTTTATGTGTTGGCCTGGACATTTTAAAGTTGTAGGTACTGGGATGTATAGTTCACCTGGAATCAATGAGCACTCTGAACTCATTGGACCAAACTTGGCACACACACACCCCCAGGACCATCAAAAAATACCGGAGGTCTTTGGCGAAAATTCACCTTGATTTGGGGGAGTTGTAGTTCACCTACATCCAGAGATAACCCTATGAAGCCAAACACTGATGGGATCTGGACCAAACTTGGCACACAGACCTGAGATGCCGAAATCTGATCACTGGATGGGTTTGGGGGTAACTGACATAACTGATATGCTGAAATTTGATTACTGGAGGGCGGGGGAACTGACCTTCCTTTGGGGGAGTTGTAGTTCACCCACAACCAGAGAAACCGTGACCTCCACCAGTGATGGACCTGGACCTAACTTGGCACACAGACCTGATATGTTGACATTTGATTACTGAATTAGGTTGACCCATCCATTCTGGGATTTGTAGTTCACCCACAAACAGAGAAATGGTGATCTCCACCAGTGATGGACCTGGACCAAACTTGGCACACAGACCTGATATGTTGACATTTGATTACTGGAGGAGGTTGACCCATCCATTCTGGGATTTGTAGTTCACCCACAAACAGAAATTGTGATCTCCACCAGTGATGGACCTGCACCAAACTTGGCACACAGACTGATACGTTGACATACTGAAGAGGGTTTGCGGGGAACTGACCCTCCGTTCCTGGGAGTTGTAGTCCACCCACAACCAGGGAAAATTACCTCTGCCGATGATGGACCTGGACCAAACTTGTCACACAGAACCCTCTGGACGTACTCAACCTACTGGAGGGATTGGAGGGGTCTGACTAACCATAGTGGGAGTTGTAGTTTACCCTACAGCCAGAGAGCAAACTGAACCCCACCAAAGATGCATCTGGAGCAAACTTGCACAACATAACAAACTTGTAAGTATTGATGGAGATTCAGGAAGTTAACCTGGCCTGATGGGAGTTGTAGTTCGCCCACAACCTTATGCATTTGGTACAATGACAACATTGACTTTTTCAACTATCCTAGACAATGTAAAGCAAATCAGGAAAGCCGTCCTGGCATTTGGAATGGCAATCCTATTGTGCTCTTCTCTTGCAGAACTGTGGCCAGAGTTCGAGGTCTCCCTCGTGGTTCAGCAGAGATTGCTCCACCAGGAAGAGGCCTGTTTGCGACAGTCCGGTTCACAAGGGGAACTTCCTTTGACGCTTTGGGATTTGGCGTGGTCAGTGGGAGGGAGGTATAAATAACTTTGGCAGAAGCACAATCTGGTCCAAAGTTAACATCACGGCCTTGCTTCGTTTCAGGTTTCATCCTATCTGCCTCTAAATCCCAGCAACTACAACTCCCAAATGATTTTGTCACTTGGGAGTTGTAGTTGCTGGGATTTCTAGTTCACCTACAATCAGAGAGCATTCTGAACCCCACCATTGATAGAATTGGGTCAATCTTCCTACACAGAACTCCCATGACCAAGAGAAAATACTGGGAGGTTTTGGTGGGTATTGACCTTGAGTTTGGGAGTTGTAGTTCACCTGTATCCAGACTCAAACAATGATGGATCTGGACCAAACTTGGAATGAATACTCAAAATGCTTAAATGTGAACACTGGTGGAGTTTGGGGGGAAATAGATCTTGACATTTGGAAATTGTAGTTACTGAGATTTATAGTTCACCTACAATCAAAGAGCATTCTGAACTCCACCAATGATGGAATTGGACCAGCCTTGACACACAGAACGCCAATGGCTGAAAGCAAATACTAGAAGGGTTTGGTGGGCATTGACCTTGAGTTTGGGAGTTGTAGTTCACATACATCTAGAGAGCACTGAGGACTCAAACAATGATGGATCTGGACTAAACTTGGCATGAATAATCAATATGCCCAAATGTGAACACTGGTGGAGTTTGGGGAACATAGACCTTGACATTTGGAAATTGTAGTTGCTGGGATTTATAGTTCACCTACAATCAAAGAGCATTCTGAACTCCACCAATGATGGAATTGGACCAGCCTTGGCACACAGAACCCCAATGGCCAAAAGCAAATACTAGAAGGATTTGGTGGGTATTGACCTTAAGTTTGGAAGTTGTAGTTCACCTACATCCAGAGAACACTGAGGACTCAAACAATGATGGATCTGGACTAAACTTGGCATGAATACTCAATATGCCCAAGGGTGAACATTGGTGGAGTTCAGGGATAACAGACCTTGACATTTGGGAGTTGTAGTTGCTGGGATTTATAGTTCAACTACAATGAGAATTCTTAACCCCACCAATGATGGAATTTGGCCAAACTTCCCACACAAAATGCTCATGACCAACAGAAAGTATTCTGTTTTCTGATGGTTTTTGGCGACCCCTCTGACACCCCCCCCCAGGGGTCCCGACCCCCAGGTTGAGATACGCTGAGAGTGAGAAAAACAGGGCAATGTTCCTTTCACAGTTTTGTGGAAGAGGGAACTGAATCAGGTGTGGAAGCTTTTCCTGCAAAGATCATCTCCAGGTCATTCCCTCTTCCATAGAATTAAAGGTGCAGAAGGAAGGACCAGTTTTTCCTATGCTTATCCTAAGAGAAGCGGGTAGGGATTCTCTTTGATTGTAAGTGAACTATAAATCCCAAGAAGTACAACTCCTAAATGTCAAGGTCTATTTCCCCCAAACACCACCAGTGTTCACATTTGGGCATATTGAGTATCCGTGCCAAGTTTGGTCCAGATCCACTTTTGTTTGAGTCCCTAGTTCACTCTGAATGAAGATGAGCTAAAACTCTCACACTCAAGGTCAATGCCCACCAAACCCTCCCACTATTTTCTGTTGATCATGGGAGTTCTATGTGCCAAGTTTTGGCTCATTTCCATAATTGATTGAATTCAGAATGCTTTTTGATTATAGGTGGACTATAAATCCCAGAAACCACAACTCCCAAATGTCTGTTTTTCCTCAAACTCCACCAGTTTTCACATGTGGGTATATTGAGTATCCGTGCCAAGTTTCGTCCAGGTCCATCATTGTTTGACTTCAGGATGCTCTTTGATTGTAGGTGAACTATACATCCCAGCAACTACAACTCCTAAATCTCAAGGTCCATTTCCCCCAAAGTCCACCAGTGTTCACCTTTGGGCGTATTGAGTATCCGTGTCAAGTTTGGTCCAGATCCAATATTGTTTGACTTCAGGATGCTCTTCGATTGTAGGTGAACTATAAATCCCATCAACTACAACTCCCAAATGTCTATGTTGCCCAAATTCCACCAGTGTTCACCTTTGGGTATATTGAGTATCCGTGCCAAGTTTGGTCCAGATCCAATATTGTTTGAATCCTGAGTTCACTCTGAATGTAGCAGAATTACAACTCCCAAACTCAAGGTCAATGTCCACCAAAACCCAGTATTTTTTGTTTGCCATGGGAGTTCTGTGTGCTAAGTTTGGTTAAATTCCATCGTTGGTGGAGTTCAGAATGCTCTTTGATGATAGGAGTCCCTAATTCACTCTGAATGTAGCTGAACTACAACTCCCAAACTCAAGGTCAGTGTCCACCAGACCCTTCCAGTATTTTCTGTATGTCATGGGAGTTCTGTGTGCCAAGATTGGTTCAATCCCATTGTTGGTGGAGTTCAGAATGCTCTTTGATTGTACATAAATGACAGAAACTACAACTCCCAAATGACAAAATGAACCCCCCTCAACCCCACCAGGATTCAAATTTGGGCATATCAGGTATTTGTGCCCAATTTGGTTGAGTGAATGAAAATACATCCTGCTGCGTATCAGATATTTACATGACTATTCATAACAGGGGCAAAATGACAGTGATGAAGTAGCAATGAAAATAATGTTATGGTTGGGGGTCACCACAACATGAGGAACTGTATTAAGGGGTCGCGGCATTAGGAAGGTGGAGAAACACTGACCTAGAGCTTCGGAGAGCTTCTGTTCAACCATTTCAAAGCTCCCTGCTTGAGCGGTGATGGCATGATCGTCAGCGTAGATCAAACTATTTGTCATTTCTGGCATTTGTAGGGGTCACCACAACATGAGGAATTCTATTAAAGGGTCGCGGCATTAAGAAGACTGAGAAACACTGAGTTTCGGAGACTTCTGTTCAACCATTTCATAGCTCTCTGCTTGAGTGGTGATGACAATGATCATCAGCGTAGATGAAACTCTTTGGAACTTCTGCCATTTGTAGGGGTCACCATAACATGAGGAACTGTATTAAAGGGTCACGGCATTACGAAGATTGAGAAACACTGAGCTTCGGAGACTTCTGTTCAACCATTTCAAAGCTCTCTGCTTGAGTGGTGATGGCATGATTGTCAGCGTAGATTAAACTCTTTGTCGTTTCTGGCATTTGTAGGTGTCACCACAACATGAGGAACTGTATTTTCATTAGGAAGGTGGAGAAACACTGACCTAGAGCTTTGGAGAGTTTCTGTTCAACCATTTCAAAGCTCTCTGATTGAGTGGTGATGGCATGATCATCAGCATACATGAAATCCTTTATCATTTCTGGAATTTGTAGGGGTCACCACAACATGAGGAACTGAATTAAGGAGTCACGGCATTAGGAAGGTTGAGAAACACCGAGCTTCAGAGACTTCTGTTCAACCATTTCAAAGCTCTCTGCTTGAGTGGTGATGGCATGATCGTCAGCGTAGATGAAAATCTTTGCCCCTTCTGGCATTTGTAGGGGTCACCACAATATGAGGAACTGTATTCAGGGGTCACGGCATTAGGAAGGTTGAGCAACACTGCTTCAAGTAGTGAGACCAGATTGCCTTTTCCCTGCTTCCCGAAGTGGTGTGACTCCTGCAACACTCCCTTTAGTGATTTCAGCCCGGGTGAACTTTGTCCTCCTCCTCTGGCCCAGCTGTTGCCAATCCGGCCCCATTTGCACCCGGTTCCCCTCCCTTCCAGCCGTGGGCCCTCCCTGTTCCCCTTATAAGCAGAGCCAGAAGAGAGAGGGAAACTCTGCAAATTTGGATTTCCTGGCTGTCTGGACCTCTTCTCACACTCGTCGCCATGCCTGCAGATTACAACGGCACCTGGAACCTCGTCAGCAGCGACAACTTTGAAGGTTACATGCTGGCCTTAGGTGAGTAAACACAGCGTTGGATGTTTCCTGTGTTGTCGAAGGCTTTCATATCCGGAATCACTGGGTTTCCAGACAGCCACGTTCCAGAAGCATTCTCTCCTGACCTTTTGCCCACATCTGTGGCAGGAGTCCTCAGAGGTTGTGACATCTGTTAGAAATTAGGCAAGTTGGGTTTATATATTTGTGGGAAAATGTCCAGGGTGGGAGGAAGAACTCTTGCCGTCGGCTACCTTGATTAGCATCGAATAGCCTTGCAGCTTCAAAGTCTGGCTACTTCCCGCCACAATGGTGCAATGGGTTAAACCTCTGCCAACCTGAAGGTCTGCGGTTCGAATCCGACAACGTGAGCTCCCATCTGTCAGCTCCAGCTTCTCATGCAGGGACATGAAAGAAGCCTCCCACTGGGGACACCCAGATGTAAGACAAGCCTCCCACCTGATGTTCCCAGGGCAACGTCCTTCCAGACAACCAATTCTCTCACACCAGGACTGCTAACAGGTCAGAGGTTTGAATCCAGGGAGTGGGGTGAGCTCCCACTTGTCAGCTCCAGCTTCTCATGCTGTGACATGACAGAAGCCTCCCACAGGATGGTAACACATCTGGGTGTCCCCTGCACAACATCCTTGCAGACAGCCAATTATCTCACACCAGGACTGCTGACCAACAGGTCAGAGGTTTGAACCCGGGGAGTGGGGTGAGCTCCCACCTGTCAGCTCCAGCTTCTTATGTGGGGACGTGAGAGAAGCCTCCCACTGGGTGTTCCCGGGGCAACGTCCTTGCAGACGGCCAATTCTCTCACACCAGAAGGACTGCTGACTGACAGGTTGGAGGTTTGAATCCAGGGAGTGGGGTGAGCTCCTGTCTGGCAGCACCAGCTTCTCATACAGGGACGTGAGAGAAGCCTCCCACAGGATGGTAACACTTCTGGGTGTCCCCTGGGCAACGTCCTTGCAGATGGCCAATTCTCTCACACCAGAAGGACTGTTGACCGACAGGTCGGAGGTTTGAATCCGGGGAGTGGGGTGAGCTCCCACCTGTCAGCTCCAGCTTCTCATGCAGGGACGTGAGAGAAGCCTCCCACAGGATGGTAACACTTCTGGGTGTCCCCTGGGCAATATCCTTGCAGACTGCCAATTCTCTCACACCAGAAGGACTGCAGACCAACAGGTCGAAGATTTGAATCTGGGGAGTGGGGTGAGCCCTTGTCTGTCAGCTCCAGCTTCTCATTCAGGGACATCAGAGAAGCCTCCCACAAGGAAGCAGCCAGGCTTTGCCATGGTGGGAGAAAGAATTCTTGTCTGTTGGAGGCAAGTGTGAATGTTGCCATTGGCCAGCTTGCAGCTGCAAAGCCTGGAAGCAAAGCCAAGTGCTGCAAACAGAGCGTTCCCCCAGGCAGGAAGCAGCCAGGCTTTGAAGCTGCAAGGCTAGGAAATGAGGCAAGTGGAGTGTATATCTATTTGTGGAATGTCCAGGGTGGGAGAAAGAACTCTTGTCTGCTTGGGGCAGGTGTGAATGTTGCTATTGGCAAGCTTGGCTAGCATTGAATAGCCTTGCAGCTGCAAAGTCTGGTTGATTACTGCCACCGTTGTGAGGTCTGTTGGAAATGAGGCAACTGGATTGTATATATATCTGTGGAATGATGTCCCGGGTGGGAGATAGAATTCTTGTCTGTTGGAGGYAAGTGTGAATGTTGCCATGGGCCACAGATATATATATATATATATACACAGCTTGATTAGCACTGAATAGTCTTGCAGCTTCAAAGTCAATCAGTAAGGGTACTATCTGCATGGAGGTGTGTTGGAAATGAGGCAAGTAGGCTGTGTGTGTGTGTGTGTGTGTGTGTATATATATATATATATATATATATATCTGTGGAATAATGTCCAGGGTGGGAGGAAGAAAAGTCATATCTGCTTGAGGCTTCCCCCAGGCAGGAAGCAGCCAGGCTTTGAAACTGCAAGGCTAATCAAGGTGGCCTATGGCAACATTCACACTTGCCTCAAAGAGACAGCTCTTTCTCCCACCCAGGACCTGCCACAGATATATATATATATACACACACACACACACACACACACACTCCCCGCTTGCCTCATTTCCTAGCCTTGCAGCTTCAAAGCCTGGCTGCTTCCTGCCTGGAGGAATCCTGTTTGCAGTGCATATATATATATAAACATATATATATTCCACTTGCCTCATTTCCTAGCCTTGCAGCTTCAAAACCTAGCTGCTTCCTTCCTGGAGGAACCCTCTGTTTGCAGTGCTTGGCTTTGCAGTCAGGCATTGCAGCTGCAAGGCTATTCAATGCTAACCAAGCTGGTCAGTGGCAACATCTACACTTGCCTCAAGCAGACAAAAGCTCTTTCTCTGGATATATATACACACACACACACATCTCATTTGCCTAGTTTCCAACAGACCTCACAACCTCTGAGGGTGCCTGCCGTCGATGTGGGCAAAATGTCAGGAGAGAATGCTTCTGGAACAGGCAAACTAAGTGAACAGGAAAGTCTGTGGGTCTAGTGCGTTCACGTCTCTCTCCTCCAAGGCATCGACTTTGCCACGCGCAAGATCGCCAAGATGCTGAAGCCCCAGAAGGTCATCAAGCAGGAGGGAGACGCCTTCACCATCAGCACCACCAGCACCTTCCGAAACTATTTTGTCGAGTTCCGGATCGGGGAGGAGTTTGAGGAGGACAATAAAGGTTTGGACAACCGGAAATGCAAGGTGAGAACCTCCAGCGTCTCAATCAGGCCTGGGCAAACACCTGGAAGGAGGGCCGCAGTTTGCCCAATCCGAATGACTCCTCTGCTGTCCCATTTTCCAAAGCTTGTTTAAAAGGCCCCGGTTTCGGTCTCCACTTCCCCCTTTGTCCTCAGATTATTTCAATTGCTGCATATTGATATGTCTTCTCTTTTCCCTCTGAAAACGAAGAGTGTGGTGACCTGGGACAACGACAGACTCGTTTGTGTCCAGACTGGGGAGAAGAAAAACAGAGGCTGGACGCATTGGATTGAAGGCGATGAACTCTACTTGGTATACCGTCCTGGAAATATATATATATGTATATGTATACACACACACACACACACACACACATATATGATCCGATACAGGCTTTCTCCAATTCAGAAAACAAAATTGTGAAGATGTGCCATATGTAATTTCTAGCTTGTGTACCCGGCGTTGCCCGGGTTATTTCAAAAAGTCAAATTTCGAATTGGACACATTGCATAAGGTTGTGTGTGAACTACAACTCCCGTCATGCCAGGTTATGGTAACACGTCTCCTAGGCCTTGCAGACTACCAGAAGGACTGCTGACTGAAAGGTCGGTGGTTTTAATCTGGGGAGTAGGGTGAGCTCCCGTCTGCCAGCTCCAGCTTCTTATGTGTGGACATATGAGAATCCTCCCACAGGGTGGTAACACTTCTGGGCATCTTCTGGGCAACGTCCTTGCAGACTGCCAATTCTCTCATACCAGAAGGACTCCTGATTGAAAGGCTGGCAGTTCGAATCCAGGGAGCAGGGCGAGTTCCCGTCTGTCAGCTCCAGCTCCTCATGCAAGGACATGAGAGAAGCCCCCCACAGAGTGGTAACACATCTGGGCATCTTCTGGGCAATGTCCTTGCAGGTGGCCAGTTCTCTCACGTCACAAGGACTGCTGACCAAAAGGTCGACGGTTCAACGGGGAGCGAGGTGAGCTCCTGTATGTCAGTTCCAGCTTCTCATACGGGGAAATGAGAGAAGCCTCCCACAGGGTGGTAAAACATCCGGGAATCTTCTAGGCAACGTCCTTGCAGACTGCCAATTCTCTCACACCAGGACTCCTGATTGAAAGGTTGGCGGTTCGAATCCAGGGAGCAGGGTGAGCTCCTGTCTGTCAGCTCCAGCTCCTCATGCAAGGACATGAGAGAAGCCCCCCACAGGGTGGTAACACAACCAGGCATCTCCTGGGCACCGTCCTCGCAGACAGCCAATTCTCTCCCACGAGGACTGCTGACCGAAAGGTCAGCGGTTCGAATCTGGGGAGTGGGGTGAGCGTCCATCTGTGAGCTCCAGCTTCTCATCCGGGGATGTGAGAGAAGCCTCCCACAGGGTGGTAACACATCCAGGCATCCCCTGGGCAACGTCCTTGCAGACAGCCAATTCTCTCACACATGAAGCAACTTGCAGTTTCTCCAGTCGCTCGTGACACGAAAAATTATTATTATTATTATTATTATTATTATTATTATTATTATTATTATTATGTGATAATTCATTTGCAGGAACTGCGGTGTGAGAATGAAGTCAGCCGGCAAGTCTTCAAAAGAGCCTGATTGAGGACAACTCAGTCGAGAAACCTGTGGACGGAAACACTCACTTCGTCAGAGGAAAAAAGCCTTTTCTCCTTGTTTCCTTTCTGTAAAAAAAACATATGAATCCCAGCTATTTCCTGGGACTAAAGCGGTGACTGTTACTATACTTGGTGTATCCCTACATTAAAGGCAATGATGGACAATGTTTCCTGTGTTTTTCTATAATCATTTCCCAAAACAGTGACAGACGGTGAGCTCCCATCTGTCAGCTCCAGCTTCTCCGGCAGGGTAACACATCTGGGTGTCCCCTGGGCAATGCCTTTGCAGACTGCCAGTTCTCTCACACCAGGACTGCTTACCGACAGGTGAGTGGTTTGAACCCGTTAGAAGAGGTGAGCTCCCATCTGTCAGCTCCAGCTTCTCATCCAGGGATATGAGAGAAGCCTCCCACAGGATGGTAACACGTCCGGGTGTCCCCTGGGCAACGTCTTTGCAGATGTTGGGAGGCTTCTCTCATGTCCCTGGATGGGAAGCTGGTGCTGACAGATGGGAGCTCACCCCTTCTAACGGATTCAAATGTTTTTGCAGAAGTTCTATTCTCTCACAGCAGAAGGTATATAATAATATATATATTACAGTAATATAGTACTATTATATATAATATAGTAATAAAGAATATACTATATATACTACCTATAATATACAAGGTACAAACATATCTACTCAAAATGAAAAACAACACAACAACACACTCACAAAACGGCAAAACAACAAAACTCAAAAATCCCCCAACGAAACTTAACTAAAATCCCCGTGCCCATAACACAACCCACAAGGTACAAACATATCTACTCAAAATGAAAAACAACACAACAACACACTCACAAAATGGCAAAACAACAAAACTCAAAAATCCCCCAACGAAACTTAACCAAAATCCCCGTGCCCATAACACAACCCACAAGGTACAAACATATCTACTCAAAATGAAAAACAACACAACACACTCACAAAACGGCAAAACAACTGAGCATGCGCATTGGCGCCCAGCCGCAAGTTCCCTGGCGCGCGCACATGGCCTTCCGGCCAACGTTCCCTCTGCGGAAACCATGCCCACTCCAAGCCCCGCCGCGCCGCTTCCCGCACACACACACACCCTGCCGCACACACACACGCAACCCCACGCTCCATCACTCCCCCCGCTGCCGCACACACACACGCAACCCCACTCCCCCCACCGCCGCACACACACACGCAACCCCACACTCCCCCCGCCGCCGCACACACACACCACCCGCCATCACTCCCCCCGCCGCACACACACACACGCACACCACTCCCCCCGCCGCCGCACACACACACGCAACCTCACGCTCCATCATTCCCCCGCCGCCGCACACACACGCAACCCCACGCTCCATCCCTCCCCTGCCTCCAATCTTACCTCCTTTTACTTCACGCCACCTCCAAACCCCCCCCGCCCCTTCCCCCCTGTCAAAATCAAGAAAAGACAGGAAGGAAGGAAAGAAGGAAGAAAGAGAAAGAGAGGTAAAGAAAAAGGGGGAAGGAAGGAAAGTTAGAGAAAGAGAAGGAAAGAAAGGAAAGAGAGAAGGAAGAAAAGCGAGACAGCAGAAGAGAAAGAAAAAGGGGGAAGAAGGAAAGAGATAGAGAAGGAGGAGAAGGAAAGAAGGGAGGAAGGAAGGAAGAAGGAAGGAAAGGAAGGAAGGAAGGAGGGAGGGAGGAGGGAAAAGAAGGAGAGAAAGAGGGAAGATTGGCCACAGCAACACGTGGCGGGTAAAGGTTGTTATTTCTATTATTATTATTATGCTATTGTTCCTATGAGACCCTTTTAGGGGGAATGGGAGAGGTGTCAGGTCCCAGAGGCAATGCATTGCATTATTGTTATTGTTATGATGGTGGTGAAATAAAAGGAAATAAAAAGAGAAAGAAGGAAGCAAACAGGGAGGGAAGAAAGGCAAAGGAAGAAAGGGGGAGGGAATGAAGGAAAGAGAGAAGGATGAAACCAAGTAGTGAAAGAAGGAAAGAAAGAAAGGTAGAGAAGGAAGAAAGGAGAGAAAGGGGGAGGAAAAGGGGGAAGGAATAGGTAGGTACCTCTCTTTCATAATAGTCCAGATATCTACCTCAACTTTGATAAGTTTTACTATAGGCCACAGCAACGCGTGGCAGGGCACAGCTAGTATTGTATATATTTAGTTATAACAATATATAATGTATTGTCGAAGGCTTTCATGGCTGGAATCACTAGGTTCTTGTGGGTTTTTTCGGGCTATAGGCCATGTTCTAGAGGCATTTCTCCTGACGTTTCGCCTGCATCTATGGCAAGCGTCCTCAGAGGTAGTGAGGTCTGTTGGAATTAGGACAATGGGTTTATATATCTGTGGAATGGCAGGGGTGGGGCAAAGAGCTCTTCTCTGCTAGAGCTAGGTGTGAATGTTTCAGCTGATCACCTTCATTAGCATTTGAAGGCCTGCCTGAGCCTGGGAAAATCTCTTGCTGGGAGGTGTTAATCTGTGCCTGGTTGTTTCCTCTCTGTTGTTTTGCAGTTGTAATTTTAGAGTTTTTTAATAATAAATCTGGCTACCAGTATTAAAAAACTCTAAAATTACAACAGCAAAACAGGCTCAGGCAGGCCTTCAAATGCTAATGAAGGTGATCAGCTGAAACATTCACAACTAGCTCCATCAGACAAGAGTCCTTTGTCCCACCGTGGTCATTCCACAGATATATAAACCCATTGTCCTAACTCCAACAGACCTCACTATCTCTGAGGATGCTTGCCATAGATGCAGGCGAAACGTCAGGAGAGAATGCCTCTAGAACATGGCCATATAGCCCGAAAAAACCTACAAGAACCTATATAATATATAATATATATTATTGTAATATGGTTATTTTATATATCTATTATATAATGTATATATAATGTATATATAATGTATAAAATATATAATACATGAGTATGATCAATATATAATACATTAGCATGTAATATATAATATATAATATATGATAATATATAATTTATATTTTATAATAAACAATATATTTATAATATATAACACATAATAATATATAATTTATAATATATAACAATATATAATATAATATACTATAATACAATACAATATAATCTAACATGAGTGTGTTCAATCTCCCATTTCCCCTTTAAGGACACAAGCCCCGCCCTCTTTTCCTTTTCCCGCCAGACGAAGCCACGCCCCCGACAGCAACAACGGCCTGGCCCCGCCCCTGTTGCTATGGCTCAAGCAGGCTCCGCCTCCTGACCGTCTTGGCTTGAGGGAGGAGAAGTGGGCGGAGCCTGCTCCATCCCTTCGCTTCCCCATTGGCTAGCGTTAGCGCCCTTAGCCGCGATTGGCCCATTGAGGGCGTCCAATCATTGGCCGGAGGAGGAGCCTTCTCCCTTTTTTCCTATTGGCTAACATCCTCCGCCCGACGCGGACGCGCTTTACGCTTTTACGCGCCTCACGTGAGCCGACGTCAAGATGGCCGCCGCCGCCTCCTTGTTTTGATGAATAATCTCTGTGAGGGGAAGGCAGGCGAAGGGAAGGCCGAGGCGGAGGGGAAGGGGGCGGGCCGGAGGGGCTAGGAAAGCGGCAGGCTTCGGGGCCTAGTCTTCCCTCAGGGGCTTGGAGGGGTTGTTGGCGAGGGAAAGGGGAAAGGGAGCCACCCTGGGCCTCTGGAAGCCTGGGAGAGCTGGGAACTCACTCCCGGGCTCCCAAGGCACTGCCTTCCCAGGACGTGGACTCTCCCTCAGACTGGGAACTGTATTTCCAGTCCAACTGGGACACCAAGACGTTGACTCTCTGGTGAAACTGGGACTCCAGGACGTGGACTCTCCCTCAGACTGGGAACTATATCTCCAGTCCAACTGGGACGCCAAGACGTTGACTCTCTGGTGAAACTGGGACTCCAGGACGTTGACTCTCCCTCAGACTGGGAACTGTATTTCCAGCCCAACTGGGACGCCAAGACGTTGAATCTCTGGTGAAACTGGGACTCCAGGACGTGGACTCTCCCACAGACTGGGAACTATTATCTCCAGTCCAACTGGGACGCCAAGACGTTGTATCTCGGGTGAAACTGGGACTCCAGGACGTTGTATCTCCCACAGGCTGGGAACTGTATCTCCAGTCCAACTGGGACGCCAAGACGTTGTATCTCTGGTGAAACTGGGACTCCAGGACGTTGACTCTCCCTCAGACTGGGAATCCAGGGAGTCCTCTCTCCAGCCCAACTAGGACAGCAAGACATTGGCTCTCTAGTCAAGCTGGGACTCCAGGACGTTGACTCCCCCACAGACTGGGACTCCATGTGTGGCTCCTTTTGTACTCTTGCTATGGGTGGGCTCTGGTGCTTCTTCTAGGTGGAGGCAGGGCTGTCGTTGTCTCTATGGGACTCTGATACACTCAGAAGCCAATATTGAGTAGGCCTCTGGAGATAGGCGCTCTCTATGGGACTCTGGTACACTCAGAAGGCACGTTTCCTGTGACATTTGGAGATAGGGATCGGCGCTACCCTTGCAAAGCTGCACATTTGGGCTCCTGTCTAGGAAAAGCTTCAGGATCTATGGGCCTATAGGGTTTCTTGCAGACAGGAGGGTTTCCAATTTGCATTCTCCTTCTTGTGAGACAACAAGGGGGATTTCTGCTTTACACTCGCCTGCCGTTATAGAAAACCGAGGAGTAGAGTTTTGGAAACCCACCTCAGGCTGCTTGGACCTTTGTCGTCTAGGAAACTTTGGGGTCTGAAAGGATATTAGGCCTACCCCATAGGGTTTCTTGCAAACAGAAGGGTTTCCAATTTGCATTCACCTTCTGGTGAGACAACAAGGGGGATTTCTGTTTTACACTCAACTGCCAGATAGAAAACCGAAGAGTAGAGTTTCAGAAAACCACCTCAGGCTGTTTGGGTCTCTTGTCGTCTAGGAAACTTTGGGGTCTGAAAGGATATTGGGCCTACCCCATAGGGTTTCTTGCAGACAGAAGGATTTCCAATTTGCATTCGCCTTCCAGTGAGACAAGAGGGATTTCTGCTTTATGCTCGCCTGCCGTTATAGAAAACAGAGTACAGTTTCGGAAACCTATCTCAGACTGCTTGGGTCTCTTGTCGTCTAGGAAACTTTGGGGTCTGAAAGGATATTGAGCCTACCCCATAGGGTTTCTTGCAGACAGGAGGGTTTCCAGTTTGCGTTTGCCTTCTGGTGAGACAACAAGGAGGATTTCTGCTTTACACTCAACTGCCGGATAGAAAACTAAGCAGTAGAGTTTCGGAAACCCACCTCAGGCTGCTTGGGTCTCTTGTCATCCAGGAAACGTTCAAACGAGGGCAGAAAAGTAGCCTAGATTGTGTAGAAATAGGTGGAGTAGAGTTTCCGAAACCCACCTGAGGCTCCGTGGGTCTCTGTCGTCTAGGAAACGGTGAAAATAGGGCAGAAAAGCAGCCTAGATTGTGTAGAAATAGGAGGAAACAGTCAAAATAGGGCCGCAAAGTAGCCTAGATTTTCCCAGGAGGATTCCCACTTTGCATTTGCCTTCTGGTGAGACGACAAGGAGGATTTGGGCTTTACACTCGCCTGCCATTATAGAAAACAGAGGAGTAGAGTTTCAGAAACCCACCTGAGGCTACTTGGGTCTCTTGTCGTCCAGGAAACGGTCAAACTAGGGCAGAAAAGAAGCCTAGATTGTGTAGAAATAGGTGGAGTAGAGTTTCCGAAACCCACCTGAGGCTGCGTGGGTCTCCGTTGTCTGGGAAACAATCAAAGTAGGGCCGAAAAGTAGCCTAGATTTCCCAGGAGGATTCCCACTTTGCATTTACCTTCTGGTGAGATAACAAAGGGGATTTCTGCTTTACGTGTTCCTGTCCGATAGAAAACGGAGGAGTAGAGTTTCTGAAACACACCTCAGGCTGCTTGGGTCTCCATCGTCTAGGAAAAGTTCAAAATAGGGCAGAAAAGTAGCGTAAATTTCCCAGGAGGATTCCCACTTTGCGTTCTGGTGAGACAACAAGGAGGATTTCTACTTTACGTTCACTTGCCGTTATAGAAAACTGAGGAGTAGAGTTTTGGAAACCCACCTAGGTCTCTTGTTGTCCAGAAAACGATTACAATAGGGCAGAAAATTAGCCTAGATTGAGTAGAAATAGGAGGAGTAGAGTTTCTGGAACCCACCTGAGATTACTTGGGTCTAGGAAACGTTCAAAATAGGGCTGAGAGGTATCCTAGATTCTGGAGAAATAGGAGCCACAACTTTAATGTTTTAAGTGCCTACAAAAAGAGGCTTTCAAAGCTGAAAGTACAGGAAGGCCTGAAGGTTTGACTACCAAACAAAGTTGTTTGTACAGAGTTTTCCGTGTGTGTTTGTTGTCGTCCGTCTAACCGGAGAGAAGGGAGCTGCTTGTTGCCCCAAGGGCAGAAAGTGTCTTCTGTGGTCTTGCTCTTTTTAACTCCTGACTATGCAACTCTGAGGCACCCCTTTGGGAAAAGAGAGAGAGGCAGCAGGACAGGGATTCCCACAGAGACTCTCTGTTCTCCAAGGAGGCCCTTGAAGGGAAGTACGGAGCCTCCCCTTCCCCCAGACGCCTTTCACCATTAAGAGGAAAACAATGGAGGAGCTGAGCGCTGACGAGGTGAGCATGTGGTTTGTTAAACTCAATGGGGGATGTTGTGGAAGGTGTGTTATAGGTAAATATTTCTCAGAGCGCCCTTCCAGACAGGCCCTATATCCCAGGATCAGTGCCCAGGTTTTCTGCTTTAAACTGGACTATAAGAGTCTGGGATAAACAGATTATAATCTTGCATAAACAGAAAATCTGGGGTCAGGTCCTGTCTTGAAGGGCCCAGAGGGTCGGCACTTAAATTTTGAAAAGGTCCTTTGGGTGCAATGTTTGCTTCCAAAAGTAAATAACAAGCATTACTGATTTTTTCCAGGTCTACATTAATGTTTTTCTACTTTTCCCCCGTGCTCCTTTTTTGGGACACACCTTAGCTTACTGAACAAGATTGTAATTATGTGAAGGGTGGGGTTATCTCAGTTCCTACTTTTTGTAAATAGTTGTATGTTTACCTCTGTTGAGGGAACTCAAGAAAATCTCACACATTCTCTTTGGTCTAATGAGAATTTGAAATCGGCCATGTCGTTCCTTTGTGTCTAAGGGAATTCTTCTCTGTTTATGAATTAATTCCTTTACTATATGTATGCAGCCTATATATTTATTGCATTACACAACATTCTTTTCTGGGTTGCTGTGGGTTTTTTGGGCTGTCATATTCCAGAAGCATTCTCTCCTGGCATTTCGCCCATATCTATAGCAGGCATCCTCAGAGGTTGTGGGGTCTGTTGGAAACAAGGCAAGTTGGGTTTATATATCTGTGGAATGTCCAAGGTGGGAGGAAGAACTCTTTGTCTGTTTGAGGTAAGTGTGAATGCTGCAATTGATTGGCTTTGAATAGTCTTGCAGCTTCAAAGCTTGGCTGCGTCCTGCCTGGGGAAAAAGCCAAGCTTTCTTTTCCTCTGAGGACCTGGAAGATCATCTTTCTCTTAATCTTTGTAACAACCGTGTAAGATAGGTTAGGCAAAGAGACAATAATTGACCAAGGTCACTCAGCTTCAGGGGTTTTTAAATGGTTCTCTTTCAGCCCTAGTTCATTAGGCTAACTACTCTAATGTGCTGCCTTTCAGTACACCAGGTATAGTGAGAAGATGTTGTGTTTACTCAGCTCTTGCCCATGGATTAAGTTGCAGTTTTTACCAGATGAGACAGCAGTATAACACATGATACTAGGGTTACACGTGCTATGATTGTACATTTGGCTGCTATGGCAGCGAGGCGGTCTTGAAAATGCTTCCTGTCTTACTAATAGGATGTCCTGTGTCTTACTCAGACCTTGTGTATTGTTTATATCAGCCTTTCCTGATCTGTCACCTTCCAAATGTGCTGAACCATATCACCTAACTTGCCTAACCCGCATGGCCAGTGGCCATAGTTTCCACTTTGTTTTGGAGTCACAAACCATGTACATGTTCTCTTTCAGCATATGATGATACTTCTGTGTTGCTTTAGTTTTTTTTCTAATATTTCTCTTTTTTGTATTAAAGATATAAAGCTAATCATTTTATAATAGGAGTATAATATATAATAATACTAGCTGTAGATGTGTTTTGTGTGTGTATATTTGTGTTTGTGTGTATATATGTGGTTTTGCGCATGCGTTGTAATGTATTTTTAGTTGGGTTTTTTTTGGCTTTTTAAGTGTGTATTTCAGTGTTTTAATGAGTGATGGTCACTCCTTGGCTTGATAGGTATATTGTGTCCAAATTTGGAGCCCATTCATCCAATGGTTTTTGAGTTATGTAAATCTCACAAACGAACATTACATGTTTATTTATATAGACTAGCCATCCCCTGCCACACATTGTTGTGGCCCAGTCTGTGTATTTTGTGTGTGCATATATTTGTGTATATGTGTATATATGTGTGTCTGCATATATATGTGGTTTTCAGCATGCGTTGTAGTGTATTTTTGGTTTTTTTTCTTTTTAAGACTCTTCTGCTGTGTTTTTCAGTGTTTTTATGAGTGATAATCACTCATTGGCCTGATAGATGTATTGTGTCCAAATTTGGTGTCAATTTGTCCAGTGGTTTTTGAGTTATGTTAATCGCACAAACAAACATTACATTTTTATATATGTGGATTACATACAAAATAATAATAGAATAATTATATATTTTATATTTCATGTAATATATCATATACATATTACTTATAATATTATATACAATATAAGAATATAATAATTATATGTATTATATTACATGTAATATTACTAATAATATTTCTGTATAGTGGTATAGTATAATATGGTAATATATAATACTAAGATTTTGCTATGCTAATAATAATATAATATATATTGTAAGATGCTCAGAGTCCCCTTTGGAGTGAGAAGGGCAGGATATAAATGTCAATAATAAATAATATTATACTAATTGGAGCCCCCCAGTGGTGCAGTGGGTTAAAGCGCTGAACTTGCTGATCGAAAGGTCGCAAGTTCAGATCCGGGGAGTGGCGTGAGCTCCTGCTGTCAGCCCCAGCTTCAGCTAACCTAGCAGTTCAAAAACATGCAAATGTGAGTAGATTAATAGGTACTACTTCAGTGGGAAGGTAAGGGCGCTCCATGCAGTCATGCCGGCCATATGACCTTGGAGGTGTCTACGGACAACGCCGGCTCTTCGGCTTAGAAATGGAGATGAGCATCAGAGTCCCAGAGCCGGACACAACTGGATTTAATGTCAGGGGAAAACCTTTACCTTAATCGTACTAATAATCAAAAATTACATTGATCTCCAAATCAATTTTGGTGCTTAGTCTTATTCTTTCAGACCCAAAATTCCAGGTAATAGATGAGTTCCTGGAGGGCCATTCAGACACTCCCCCTCTTCCCTGCAACCAAGAGACACACAGCAACAAGAATAATACTACACTCGATACCGCATTGATCCCTGGAATATATTTCCAAAAAGAGCTGGGTGTAATTCGAAAGGTTGGGTTGTAACTTGGGATTAATTGAATGACCTTATATTTAAATATCAGGTTAATATTCCTGGATATCCAAACGATTAGTACCAATTCTAGGTTAGTGGTACAGTAATTTGCATGTTGCATCAAGATGTTATGTGGCAAATTAGAAGCAGGAGGACATTAAGAAGGGAAGAAAAGGATTGGTCTGAACAAGTGAACAAATTCTCAGCCATGAAGGAATTGTGGCTTCCGATTGATGATTGTAGCTGATTAATAAATAATAGTTACTTGGGTTTGGACATTAAAAAATAACACAGAACTCAATAAACCATAACCTGCTTAAATGTGGTCTAGATGGGCATCTGTCAGGGATTGTGCCAGGACTCGCCCTGTTTGGAGATGCTATAACCACGATGTCTGAGATAATGCAAAATTCCAGTTCCAGAATTCTGGCCGTCAATGGTTATGGAAGTTAGTTTGTAAAAAACCCCAAGATATTTGAGCACAAAGACATTTTTGTTTGATGGAATAACCTTCCAAAATGTATGAAAGGGGTTAGCCATGGCCTTGAGTGTGGAGACTGGAGTTTTAAACCACCCCATAAGTGATCTACAGTCATGGGTGGACGGTGAAGTTGTGAGTTTGGCTGATGGCACCAAAGGATTCAGAGATAGAAAAACAAGGCAACTGAAATAGCTTGTGCAAGGATCTCCACAAACTTGGTGAATATGCAGTATTTCAGTTAGTGATTCCCAAACTCTAGTCCTCCAGGTGTTTCGAACTTCAGCTTGGATATCCTGTTGCCTTTAGCTGCGATCCTCATGCCAAGTCATTTGATGGATTCCAGAACATTATGTGGTGATGTTGTGCAAGACGAAAGTGATTTAGTAAGGCTTGGATGTCGCAATGGGAAGGCATGTGGCTTTGGAGTGTCCTTATGTAGTTAGGAAAGGCAGACTACACTGTTTTTGGATATTAAGGAAGAAAGGCAACCCCTGCCTCAGGAGTCTATGGTTCCTGTGTTTCAGTAGTTCTCAATCTTATTTTGACCAGGGACCACTCTCCAACATTAGTACCAAAAGGGTTACGAATCTGGATTTGGTCAACTTTAGATTCAGTTTGGTTATTTGGGGTGCTGATTTAGAAAATTGCGTTGGATAGACCACATCAGCTGATTGAGAAAATTGCACTGGATAAACCACATCAGCTAGTTCAGAAACTTGCATTGGATAGACCACATCAGCTGATTCAGAAATTTGCACTGGATAGACCACATCAGCTGATTTCAAAAATTGCATTGGATAGATCACATCAGCTGATTCCAAAAATTGCATTGGATAGACCATTTCAGAAAATTGCATTGGATAGACCACATCAGCTGATTCAGAAAACTCCATTGGATAGACAACATCAGCTGATTCGGAAAACTGCATTGGATAGATCACATCAGCTGATTCAGAAAATTGCAGTGAATAGACCACATCAGCTGATTCCGAAAATTGCATTGGATAGACTATTTCAGAAAATTGCATTGGATAGATCACATCAGCTGATTCAGAAAATTTCACTGTATAGACCACATAAGCTCATTCTGAAATTTGCATTTGATAGACCACATCAGCCGATTCTAGGAATTGCATTGGATAGACCACATCAGCTGATTCAGAAAATTGTGCTGGATCGACCCTATCAGCAGATTCAGAAAATTGTATTGGGTAGATCACATCAGCAGATTCAGAAAATCGCATTGGATAGATCACATGAGCTCTAGTTTCTGATACAGAACATTTGCCATCCAGTAGTCGCCATCTGCTCGTCCACAGAAAACCATATTTAATAAGCCTCGGCACTATAAGAAGGTTTTGCAAGACCGGTCACTCTCGTTGCAATGGTGTAGTAATAGTGAGCATGCGTTTAGTGAGCATGCATATTTTAGTTCTTGTGGACCACTGGTAGTCCACGGACCACTGGTTGGGAACCACTGCTGTATTTCCGCACTAGGAAAAGAAGCTTGGTTCGCCTCTGCCGTCTTCTGTAACCAAGCGTAAGATACCTTAATCCGTCAGCAGTGATTTTATCTTCACGTGTTCCTTGGAATACTAGTTGC